ATCCGGACTCCGTGTATAAGATACCATTTCGATAAACTTTAAAATTAAATGGAAATATACATCCCGCTGCTATAAACTCACAAAGCCCACCATAAGTTTCATTTTTTATCATATCAGCATAATATTCATTGGCCATTGAGTAATTATCACCATTTCTACTGTGGGACATAAATGAAAACTTGGTCCAGTCATTCACCACATGTCCAACAATTAGTGATCGCACCTCCATCGCATTGTCTTGTGTTCCATGTATTAAAAAAGAAAGAGCTCGGAATAAACAGGTACCATCGCCAACAATGGGGACAACAGTATGTTGTTCAAGTTCTCCATTAACTAAAAGACTTTCTTTAGCCATTTCTTAGGTAATTAAATTAAACAACGTTAAATTAATCCTCCTAACAACAAAAACCGAACACGGAAAAATCTAAAAAACTAATCCGGCAGTAAGCTGTTTTATATTACACTTGTATACCGAAACCGTTTACTGGTCCTTTATCGAACGCTGGGCTATCGCTACGACAACGACAACGACAAAGCGGCCAAGTACATATAATTTACAGCACGTGGGCATACATTTTATATAAGCAAACGTTTTCGTCACGCGCAGCCATAAATATAATATGTAGGATAATCACAATAAACGACAACGGTGCTACCGCGGCTCTATCCGCCAACAACGCGTTAACGCCGACTTAGGACCTTTAGGTTAGGTTAGTTAGGTTTAATAATACAAATTACATGTAAAAATTTTCTTTTACCAATTTCAACCCTTTAAATTCAAAATTTCGAAAAATCCTTTCTGAGCGCACGTCTACATCATAATAGCTATCTGTATGCCAAATTTCAGCCAGATCCGTCCAATGGTTTGAGCTGTGCGTTGATAGCAGTCAATCAGCTTACTGTTTTATATATACAGATTACAAATTATATTTTATTATATATTGTTAATCGATTACGATTAGAAATGTACTTAGAGATAAACTGGTCAAAATTAAAAATTAAACAATACTACATTTCCTATAGACGTCTAAGCCGGGAAATATGGACGTTTTGAAAACATTTTTCCGGGACACGAAGTCTAAAACCGGTGACAATCACGGTTTTTCGAGACGTATGGCAACACTAAAGTAACTACAATAAGCACAAAAAAAACATTATTTGAAAATTATACAAATCTTAGATAATGGTAATCTTAGCATTCAATAAAAATGTTAAGTCTCAACCATAATTGTTTTTGGAGTAATAAAAAAAAAAAAAATGATAAGCCGTACCTAAATGTTTTTTTTTTTATTAATATATGTCAGATTTTCTCTATTATTTGCAATTGGTCGAGAATTTCAAAAAATAACACTAGAAACACTTACTAATTTCTTACAACACTTAACATTTAGGTAGTATTACATAAAGTGTATGTATTGTACTACATGTATAATAATTATAATAATTATAATAATTGTTTCATAATTTTAGTTCCTGATTTCAATATTCCACTTAGACTGTTACGATAATTAACTATACCAGCTATGCTAATATAAATAATTTAACTAATTGACATTTTTTAAACCATTCAGAATTTTAAAATGAGCCATCTTTAACGATGAGATTCGTGAAAATGCCACTTAAATTTTTATGCAGATTTCCAGTTCCGCCTCTGAAAATTAGCTCTATTAATATTTTATCGAAATACTTACTGCCTTTACTCAGAGATTATTTTATAATAATATATTTTTTTCTTTTTCTTTTTCAGCAAGTAAAATTTAATAAAAATACATTTTTAAATTGTTAAATTTGTCTTACAAACCGTTGTTCTTTTTATTAGGATTTAATCTTTCAAATGTACTAAATTACATTCTTTATGATATCGAATTGACATAAACCGTAAGTATAAAGTTTGAGAGACATATTAGTAGAGTACTTAACTGCTCTCATTGCCCATCATTTTAAAATAAAGTAGTACATTTCCACAGTTATTTTTTTATAAATTCAGTATATATCTAATTAAAATCAATATGGCTTAACTCAAGGGCGGATAAAGCCGCCGGGACATCGGGATTTTCCCGATGGGCTGTTGCTTATATTGACGAAAATGGTCCGATGAAAAATATTACTACTAATACTATTATGTATGTACATATATACAAATAAAAGTAAATAAATATAATACTGATAATATATATTTAAATCTAACTTAAATCTATAAATATCATAGTAAATTCCTTTAAAACGAAGAAGAAAAAAAAGTATTTATAGTAGAATTACATAATTTTAAATGTAAATTTTTTTTTTTATTATTTTAATTGAATGATCAAAAATTAAAAATTAAATTTTATTCAAAATTTTGAGTGCAATTTTTTTTTTTTTTTTTAATGCATATTTTGACATATTAGTGTATATACTTGTGCACGTTAAAGATCTTTTATCACATATTTGATTGGTTTTTAATGCATATAATTCTGTGTGATAATAACTGATTGCTCAAATTTAAATTATCATATATAATCACTAATAAAACCCCACGGCAAAGTTGAATACTGATATATCATGTTTTTCCACAATAATGAGTAATACTATTGTTTAAATTAATCTGTTGTTATTTTATTTTTATTATCAAAATTGTACTTTTTATTATTATATCATGTCACAACTTTGTATTATAAACTTACACTAAATTGCACTTGAGCCTACAAAGGCGTTTATAACAATAAATAAATAAATAATTATACGCGAACCATGTAAATAGTATAATATTGCTAAAATGTTGTATAACCAGGTATGCTTCAAAATGAATTAAAAATAAAAGGAGGTGCTGAAAATAAAAGAAATAAAAATCGAAGAGTTGTTAGAAGAGAGCAAAACATGTGTAAAATTGGAAAGTATAATATATATATTATAATTTTAAATATCATATTATTTAAGCACGTCGAAAAAAAAAAGGTTGCGATTGTCGATTCGGTTCTTTCAAAGTTGAGGTAATTATTTAGTTGGAACTTGGATATAATCATGTGGGCCGCTGTATTCTATTTTTCCCGGGCCGGTCAGATTATGCCTATCCGCCCCTGGCTTAACTATAAACTAAGATAACAGATTAAAAAATGATAAATATATATAACCGTATAAATTAGAATAGTCACGTAGGTATTTTTTGGTGGATTTATCACAATTATAAGAAATATTGTTTTGACTTGATTGGTCCACTAAATAGATAATTATGACTAATGTAAGGAATTTCTTAGAAAAAATTATTATTTTACAATTGCCATAACTTAAAATAAAGAAAAAATATAAGAATAAAATATCAATAAAATATTATTGGCATTTAGTGAAGATATGTCTTTAAATTTAATACCAATGTTTAAACTTGTATCAGTAAGAAAATAGTTTTAAGAAAAATTCAGTAAACAGTAGATTAACATATCCTATACATATACATATATATTTAATGTCGATAAATTTGAATAGATCACATTATATACATTATGTACTAAATACACTACTATATTATATTTTATCTTAGTTATAATTATTGAATTATAACGTAGTAGAAAAAACGTTCTCATATGAAAACTACGAGTCATTAAATACAAAAATATAGATACATGTTATAATTATTTTTTTTTTAATATAAAATGAATTGTTAAAATTCAAGATACCGATAAATTACACTTCAATTCAAACATGCGCAACACGAAATATTTGTTTGTAATTTAATACTGTGCATATGCAATTATTTTAATAATTAAACCTGAATAATGTGAATTTAAGTAGGTAGGTACTTGGTAAAAAATGTTTCAAATCAACAATAGAATTAATCGTTTTAGTTTAAAATCATTTACATTTTATTGTAAATGAATCACGAAGTTTTTTTCTAACCTGTTTTTTGGTATTATTTGGTGTGACATAAAATTACCTTGGATCAATGTTTTTTTAATAAAATAATAAAACTTAATTTGTGCAATATTTGAGTTGTCTAACAATGATTAATATTTTGTGAAAATTTAAATGTGCTTATGTTTTTTATTTATTTTTATTGAAACTTTGTGTGAAAAATTAATTTCTACAATTATTAATAGTACAAAAAATTGCTTACAAGAATAAAAATACAAGATCACATTAAATCTGTATGGTTAAATATATATTTAATATGGTATTCTTCTGTTGGCTCAAGAATATATTCATTGTATTGATAGGGATGTTGATGGAGTCTTAACGAGAAAAGAGGCGATCACGATGTGCTGACAGATTAGAACATATGAAAAGTAAACGACTAATATCACAAATCATTGGGTCAGTATGAAGTGTGCAGAGAGGAAAATCGTTAAGTGACATTTTAAAGAAATGAGAAGGGAGTGGTGTATGGCCAAATCGGAGACGAGAGGACGATTTAATGCTTTTTATAAAAAGATTGAGGTTGTAAAACCAGGGTAGTATTGGGATGGCTGTAGATGTGTTTTTATTTAAAAAATCAAAATTATCATCTAAGAAATAATATTTTATTTTTGATTACAGTAAAAGGACCTTTTTTAATCTCAGTTTTTAATAAAATAATAATGATAAAAAGTAAATTGCTTTATTATCTAGTTATATTTTATTCAAAACCATTAAATTAAATTAAAATAAATAATCTAAAACAATATATATGTACATGGTGATATATTATACATAATAAAGTGGTACATAAGCAACTAGTTTATTAATAAAGAATAACTGAAGTAAAAGTTCGCCCGTCAAATGTTTAAATAAAACTTCAAAGTTCTATAATAAATAGTTAACTTTAAGTATTTAATGAGTATGAACAAACAATGAAACTACGTATTAAACTCATATTCTAAAAACAATTAATTATAACGACACTTCAAATGTGTTAAGACAAAAAAAAGTGTGCATACACATTTAAACGAATAGTTGGTCGATGGATTGTCGTCTTGGTGACGTTTTATAAACAAAGTCATTATACCGGTGAAAACTCATGAAAATATAGTGAAAACAATATTTTCTCAAGATCAATAAATGATGTGAAGTTCATGTGAAAAACAAATCAAAAATGCTTAGAAGTGTTTGTGTCACTGTCAGAGTCGAATGTTCGTATATGAAGCATCTTTCTTGAAATATGTAAGTTATAGTTATCATAATAGATAAATAATAAAATTATTGTTATCACTAACAACAATAACTAAGTAGATATTATTTTCATACGTATTATTATTATATATCTCCACGAAGCTGTATTAAGTCTTGTATCTATGTTTTTATGAATAATTTCAATCTATAAAATTATAACTCGATAGTTATTTATTGTTATCGATCAATTTTTGATTATAAAATAAAAAAAATTACTATACAAAAATAAAAGGATTAATTTAAAGATTATTAATTAAACTTGAACAATGTAGAGATGAGAGTGTAGATTAAAAGTAGTTGAGACTATTTTGTGGAAAATGGGGAAATCTTAAAAATCTTTTAAAAGGAATATAATAATTATATATTATGTATATACAGCAAGTATAATTTTTAGGATTATTATATTTAACATATCTAATCAACTCAAACATTTTAATGATGAAAAAAATATTTTTATTGGGTTTATATGTATATTATATTCTTATATTGTACACTCAATACTATAATAATGAAACTTTTAGGTAAATTTTGGATTTATTAACATGTCTAAAGACGTAGATCATAAAAAATGTCCTGGTAGTCAACAGTCTAAGAGTTTAACAATCAACCGCGCAAACAATCAAGATGACAAAAAAACATTGGCAAAAAAAGGATGCTTTCAAAAAGATTCTAGTTTTAATAAAACTGAAAAGGATAATAATTGCAACGCAGAAGTTATTTCTCGTTCTATTAATAAGTTGTTAAAGAATGAAAAAAAATCTAGACCTACGGCAAACCCGACCAAAGTGTGTTTAAAACCAGAAGTTGTACAAGAATCTAAAGAACAATTTGCCCAAAGAATAAGACAAGCATGGATCGACCGAGAGCAATCAAAATCGTGTATAAATATTTATTTGGCTAGGAATGTTATTGAGGACCCATTGATGGAAGCTACAGATGAAGTACAAGAATCAACAGTTGAAGAACAGGAGATAGATTCTTGCCGAACTGCGTTAGAAGTACAACTTCAGAATCATGTAGAGGAAAGTGAAAACTTACCGGATGATTCTAGTGAAGAAGAAAAACCACTTTCGGCCGCTGCAAGGAGAGTTAGGTTTTATAAGACTGCAAAACAACAAAATGATAGACAAACATTAACCAGAGCAATGTCAGCACCATCGACTAGGCAACAAAGTGTAAATCCTACCCAAGAATATTATTCGACAAATTCTCGGAGAAAATCCCAAGAAATACATAAATTTCCGACTAGGAAATTAAAGTCTTGTAGGAGTAAAGCTTTCCATAAAAGCATCAATGGTGATAGTCGATTACCTAATGGGCCCAAATTTGGCAAAAAAAATCAAAATATAGAAGTGGTCACAATGATGTCACTTTTAAGCCCAGTTGGAAGTGATGTAGAGGAATCGTCTACTCCCGATGATGTATCCACGAAAACTGGTAATTTGATAATTTTACGTAAATCTTAATTAAATAAAAATGTATTTCGTTAATAGGTTTTATATAATATGAATTTTTCAAATATTATACAGGTATAAACATAGAAAAATAGTGTACATTTTTATACTTTGTAATAATATATTATTTGTCATGTTCATATTATTATTTCACATAAAAATAAATACGTAGGTATTAAATTTTCATTGTAATTCTATAAATATTATATACAAATTAATTTTGAATTCAATATATTAATTTTAATATACTTACTACTGGTACTCTTTATAAAAAAAAAACACTAAAATATAAAAGGCAGTTTAAAAGTTTTAATTTATTTGCTATGTAATATATAACAATACTCAGTATAATAATCCTAATGAATGCTGTTAGACAGAGAAATATGTGATTGCTAATAATTTTTATGTACGAAGAATGAATAGTTATTTTTGTACAAAGTACTTTTTTTACTACAAAAGTAAGGGTTGATACTATCAAAATTCTAGAGTTTTATTTTAATACTGGAATTATTCATTTAAATGATTCTTTTCAAAATAATATTTTTTTATTTAATTAAGTTTTAAATTTTTTTTATCATCCACCTATAACTTTTGAATAATGTTAATCAAGAAAACTATTTTTAAAGTATTGGTGTGCATTTTTAAATTTTTGCGTAATTATAAAATATTTATTATTTAAAATTAGGTATTTAAATATTATATACTAATATTATATATTATAAACTCAATATTCTTGATTTGAACAAACGTCAAAAATACAATATATATATATATAATGTTAAATAAACGTAGAGACGAATAGTGAACCAATAATATTATGTTTCAGTCTAATTGTGCTTACTTGTTCTTATGTTATCTTCTGCAAAATCAAAGTAAACTTTTCATGCTCATTTTTACACATTATGTTAGAACTTTTAAATTAATTAGTAGATTTAAAATAATTTTTTTTATGAATCTAATTAAATTAATTGGCAAATTTATTAATAATTAATAAATTACATTGTAAATAGTCAAATTAATTCCATTGAATAAATAATTAGTTTAATTGATTTATAATTTTTATTCCATTATTTTACAGTGACATTTCCTCAATTTAATAATAGTATGCGTTATCATCATCAAAAATCATTTGATAGCGCAATGCAATCAATGGGAAAACCAAAAGTTCTCAATAATCGTGTTGGAAAATCATTAATTAAATCAAGAACATTAGAATTATCGAGGTATGAAAGTATATTAATTGCTTACTATTAGTTTTGAATTTTAAATTTTAAATGTTATTATTTTATGAAGTATATCTATATATTTATCATTTTGTAAATAGGTATAACAATTAAGTTGAACTGAAGTATATATTTTCATATTTTAAGAGAACTTAAAAAAATTCCCAAGTGTAAGATATTTTTGTTTGACAATACCATAATACAGAACTTTAGTACATTTAATTGAATTTAATAATCATTAAAATTGCATAGTAATATATCATAGTCATCATTTGAGCTTGTTTTTCTAAGTCATGCTTTGTATTGGCATAATCTATTTGCCGTAACTATAATCATAAAAATATTTATGGGATTGAATCAATTGAAAATATTTTTTTGTATTGGTTATACTGGTTTTTCGATAAATAGGCAACTTAATATACAAAAAAATGTGATGTTTTATTTTACAATGCCTCTTTATCATTTTTAATATTTATTGGTGAATATTGCAATTACATTTTATCCCGCGTCACATACTATGAACAATTACATACATATAAGTACAACGAACTATATAAATATGTATATATTTTATAAATAGCTCTTATAAATTCTATTAAGTTTAGTATTATATATATATATATATACAACAGATAATAAAATATACATTGTATTCGTAATATTTTTTAATGATATATACATCATGTCATAAAATAATATTGTCAATGACATACCTGCATGTTTAACTTTTAGTAATATTATATTACACATTTTGGATGATATTATTATTGAGAATAACATATGAACTCTAAAATATATTTATTTTCAACAGTTAAAACCGTATGTATTTCTTAAACGACATGACCTACATCATAACACTGTATGGTCTGCATATTATTATACATTTCGATTTATTGAAAATTATTCAAGTTTCTGTAATCATTTTTACTGCACGTTAACACGACATCCTACATTTATCGATGTACCTAAAATACTGAACGGAGGGGGAGGAATGCTCAAACGTGATGGCAAAATTACATATATTACTTATAACATGCGAATATCTTCCCTGTTTTACTTAGCCGATATTCCGGTAGTCTTTCGGTAATACTCGATTGATATTAAAGTTGCCATTGAATGGCAAAACATGAAAATTGATTCAACTGTGTAGGTTTATTGTTCGTGTCAGTAACTATACGAAGTATATATTTTATATTATATAATCATTCTTACAGGGATGAAGAAGACGATGACGGAGAAGTGGTAAAAGAAGAAAAAATTCCTGAAAGTGACAACGAAAAACGAGAAGATGAAATTGCAGAAATCGCCGTTCGTTATGATGTAGTTGATGGGCAACCGACGCTTAAATCGGACAAAGAAAAAGAATGTTGGGCTCTTTTCAAAAAAATGACGGCCAAAGGAGTGTCTGTCACTTTTGATACCGTATTGAGGTTCGAAAATATTAATAAAAATACAAATACTTTAAAGAAGCACTCTTATCACCTTTATTTTGTAGTCACGGTATTTTTGACAACTGTATCTATTACGATATGATTTCTTGAACCGGAATCTAATTAACAAAATACGTTGTCTGATTATTTTCAGAGGAATGTTAACACCGACTGAATACAGACTACGGAAAAATGAACTTCTTTTATTCGGGTAGACATAACTACAATAATATATTACGCCATCGTAGTTATGGACCATGATGTTCCTACTAGCTTCGATACCAGCTTACGTCGTATAGGATTTACCATAACAATATATAGTTTAGGGTCTATTGTTAGAATGGAAAAAAAAAATGAAAAAAATATCGCCACGAATGTTTTTATAATAATGGGAGTCGTTGCATTGCCAGACGTTCTAATAAGTAGGCCCTAATATGAACTGTTTGATCGTCGTCAGAGGAGACAAAGGCGGGGGAAAAAATATCATAACATATAATATAAAGAGTTACCCGCTGATCAAACTTAAGCACCGAAGACACTTACACTCCATTATGAACATGCCTACATATTATTACTCGCGTTGTACACCTCTATATGCATGTGTACGAATATACATATATACATTGGTAGCGCTCGCTGCACGTCATGTACTACACATACCGGCGGTACGCAGTGGTTTTCAATAAAAGTGATCGGAGCAATGGAAGGGAGCGGTGAAAATATACGTCTGATGGTCTTGCCGTAGAACGACACCAACAGAATAGTGGCAGAACCGTACGGGACGCCGAACAACCTGATTGGCGAGTTCGTTTTTCATGTGTAGAGAAAAATAAAGTTATACATATTTTTTTGTTTAATGCTGTTGTGGTGTTGTTCATTCGTCGACCAAATCCGATAAATACAAAACATATAAGTACACACACACACACGTACGCACGCACATACCTTTTACACTAGAACATTTATTTATTTAATGTTGTTTTGTGTACACGATCGAATGACGTGCTCGATCCTTTTTTCAACTTGCATATGATTTTCTAATGGTAATTCGCATTGCTTTATACGCGTAGTTCTTATAACAAAAGTGCAATCATAATCATTAAATAATGTGATTAAAAAAATATATTGTACCATGTGATAAGTGTTCGGTATGTGACGATACGGTATACGTGAGCATTTTTCCGCTTTAAAATTATGACCGTTTCATACTCGCGTCTCGTAGCCAATGGAAGTAGTTTCGGATGTTTTGGCAGTATACTTTGCAAGTGAGTAATTAGTTTTTTTTTTTTGTTGATCTGCTGAATAAAACTGACTTCATATCAGACGTTAAAAATATAATTCAAATTCGAGACACGTATTTATTTATTGCTTAATAGATAACCGTGCTTCTGCAAAATTTGAATTGTATTTAAAGAAATACAGCAATATAAAATGGGATACTTTTGTCCACGTAAACAGATATTTTGGCTATTAATTTTGATTTGATAAAAGTTAAAAATATATATATATATATATATGTATATATTGTAACTTTGTATTACTACGTCGTTATAATAAAACTGTATAAATATTATAACATTGTATATTGGAGGTTTATTCACGATTTAATTTTTTTTTACCAAAAATAATTTGAATGAAGCTTAAACAACCATATTTATTTATTTATTTAGGTCTAATTTTGTTCTAAAATTATAAATGTATATATGGTGTACTATACATGTTACTATTTTATATATGTATACTACGAGTATATATGATAATACATTCAACATAGGTAACTACGAGATAATATATAACTAAGAAAAATAATACAATTAATAAAAACCATGAATTTGTTTATTAGTTGTTTTAATCGTCATACATATCAGTAATACTTTTTTTAATTAAAAATGAAATTTTTAATCACCAACAAGTCAATAATATTTTACTTAATACCTCATACCTTATTTATTCGTTACATAAAATGTCTTGTTTGTTATATAAATGATTATAAAATACATATATTTTTCTGTTTCTTATAAAATACATAAATAAAACTAATATCAAATAACCATAATTAATTTCATCATTAAAAAGGTTTTTGGTGTAAAAACAAAATACAATATTTCCGAATTTTTTAGATATAGAAAAAAACTCGTCAAATCTTTTAACTTTTGAATGCTTAGTTATACGGCTTCATATTTGGAATTCATTATTTGACAAATACTTTATTGTACACTTAAATGTATTATTAATATATTCGCGGAATATTTATGAACTATGATGTCGAAACTGGTTTAATTTTCACGTGCTTAAGGCGATGATTTTGCGAATCGATCAAAATCGTAATAGGTTACGTAAGTCTTGTTCTTAGGAAATAGAGTAATTAAATAAAATTAATTTCAGTTAAATTTTGAGGTCATAATTTAAAAGACTGGTGAATTTTATTTAAAATTAATCAGTATTTAAATATGGTGTGGACATTGCTTCATTAAGTTTTAATTTTCAGTGGTATTGCTATAACGTACTTGTATATAAGAAAAATATTAAATAAATTGGATATTAAGCTTCGAAAAACGTTATATAAATGTTGAGTTATATTTTAAGTAACATATTTAAATAGTTTTATATTTTTATATTTTCAATAACTATTTTATTCGGCGAAGAAGATAAAATGTATAAGGTTTAAAAACAAAGAAACATTTAAATTTTTGATTGGTTTCCTATTGGTTCTTATAGTCAGTATTTATAAACCATTGTTTAATTTTAAGTATTTTCTGCTTACAATATATAGTTAATATAATGATAATACAATATTTTCAACTAGTGAAATACAAAAAACATCAGTTATCAAAACATTAAAAAGGTCTAAAAAAAATTCATTACCAAATTTAAACACTATATTGAATGGTGTTATTATTATTACTTTTTAATTATATAGCATGGTAATTACTTCCAAGGTTCTACCACTAATAACTCTTTATATACGTTTATTATGATAAGGGTCATGGGAGACGAAGGGGCACTTTTATTCTTGGTCACTTGGTTTTTTACGGCCTTAAAAAAACGTAATCTTCATAAAGAATACATTTTTTAGCCACTATAGTAATTTTTTAAAGTGTATTATAACTCTTTGTTTATCGTTATGAAGAATTATTGTTGTACTATTCAAGTGTAACAAATATATATATATATATATATTCATTAATGATCAAACAAGATCCGTATCATTATTACCTCACATATACATAGTTAAATTTCGTTCAAACGTATTTATTTCCGATGCACGTTTGTCCTCGTATCCAATAATTGTGTTATCACGATAATATTCCGTTAAAATTTTGGAATTCTAGGCAAGGTGTTACGTAAATTGTTAACTGTTGCAAATATTTAAATATTAAGCCATCAAGGTCAAATTCAACAGTGAAAAATGTCTAATACAGCTATTGTACTTACCTGCACATGTGGTCGATAAATATTATTATTAATATTACCTTTATAATTTCGGTATAAGTTGAACCTTTATAATGTTAGGTATAATAAATATTTTGTATTTAGTCTTCATAGTTCACTTATGTAATTCTTGTATGTATATTAATGATAATACATCGGATATGGATACCTTATAGTAATCAGAAATCATTGTAGTATTACATTTCCAGACACGTGTGTCCAAATACTGTATGTACTATGCAAGAATTACGCCCTTTTTGAAGCTTTTGTACGATCTGTTTTAAAACACAATGACGTTATTGTTGAATGTGATTTACTGTTGATTTTTAACACTACTTGGTGTAACACGAGAGTTTGTGTCTTATGACCTACCTACTGTGTTATTATTAGACATTATGTACAAGTAAAGTATTTAATTAAAAATAATAATGCCTTCTATAGTGATATGAGTAATAGAATATTCAAGTCCCAAAGTATTATTTTTTTTTGTTATCGTACTATGATCATCAAGAAAAAAAAATTTTATGATTAATGTAAATGTGAAAAATTATCAAAATTAGTTATTACTAAATAAGAAAAGTGATATTAAATATGAGCAATTTAAATATCTGTTTTATATTTGAATTATTATTTATTTTACATGGTACAAAGCAAAATTATTATTCTAAAATAATTTATTGATTCCATTAGTATAAGTATAAATTAGACATTAGTGGACCAATTAAGAAAAAATAATGTATAGGTAGCCTATTTAAAATAAATAAATAACTAAATAAAATAAAATAATATATAATTATCATATGACAATAATTTTTAATTTACAAATACATTGCATGGATTTCTAAAATTCTTTCAATGTTAGAAAATAGAGAAAATAGTAGAATTGTACAATTATAGAATTATTATTTTCAATTTTGAGAAATCGTGTGTGATCGGATATGTGATATGGGAAATTTTTAAACGTTTAATTTAATTGAACAACATTATTTTGATTATTATTTTTAAGAATTTTACTATATCTATTTATTTATTATAATATTTTTAGGATTTATATATATGTAACTTCTATTACTTTAAGGAAATACAAAATAAATTTATTGGGTTTCAAGTTGTGAACTGTAATCAAAACCATTTGCCTCGTCCAACAAATAATTTTCAAAACATTTTGTGATAAATGAAATAATATTTTAATGTCTAATAGTATAAATGTATACACACTTTTTATATAATTATATCGTTAGTACTTTTTACATAATATAATGAATCGCACATTAGTACTTATAATTTTAACAGTATAAAAAATGTGTTTTCAAACAGTTTTCTGTTTGAATTATTATTTATTTAAGAATTATTATTCTGTTTAAAACAGAATAATTGTTTGAAAACTGAGACTTTGTATGGTATTTGTTCCATATCGTTTTGCTTTATGAGATATTTATACTATATTTTATTTGATATTGATTTCTTTGTTGCTATCACTTGTCTTGCGTTTATACTATTACAAAACATAGTTGCTTAATTTTATTGATAATTTTAATACCAAGGTGGTGACTTTAATAATCGCAACTGAAAAATGATGTTGAGTGAAGCCAAGTTTGTTATAATTTTATACTTAAACCATGCCAATATTTTATTGGAGTAAAATATGGATTAGATTTTTAAAATATATTTTTCTGATAAAATACTACGTTTTCAACAAAATTATGTCTAAAATTTAAATTTTATCATACATTTTTTTGAAGTAAATAAATTAATACAATCAAGAATAATGTAATGTTTCGGAAACAAAAAAATTACCAAAACTAAAATGTTGAAAATTATAGCATTTTAAAATCACTAAACTTTACTTACAAACAACTTCAAAACTTGACATACCTACTTCATTTTTGTCTAAGTTAAAATATCTAAGATTTTAGATTGTTGATCAGTTTTACCCATGCTGTTTAATATCATAATATTTAATATTTTTTTTCCATAATAATAAGTATTTTTTATTTACTAATACTTCACATATAACGAGGTGCATACATAAAGAAGGTTTGAGGGTCTAACTTCCTCCTCCAAATTTATGAAAATTATTAAATACGTTTTATATAGTAAAATTAGTTTATAGATTAAATAAGTATGGAAATGTATATCTGACCTCTCTCCCAAAATATATTTTTTTTGTTTTCGTGACTGCTCATAACATTATTTAATTATTGCAGATAGGTTTAAATGACCATCAACCTGCAATTATTGGTATTGCTGAATCTGAGATACTCGTATTTTATTCTATTATTTCAACTGATTTTTCGCATTTATCATCTCGGCATATAAAATAATGACACAAAAATATAAGTACATAATATGATTTGTATTTTTTACTATTCATTTTTATTCTACTCATTTAAATACTGCATAACGCATTAAACATGATTAAAATTTGATAGTTTATGGCTTAAAATTCTAGGAAATTATTAAGTTATTATTTAATTTATACAACAGTTAATATATACGATTTGTAAATAAAATATTTTGTCAAATAATATTTGAGGATTAAGGGTTTAGATAGGTTAGTATAGTAGTATATTGAGATTCTAACTGTAAAAAAATTAATTTATATTAATTTTTTTAAACATTTTAAATTTAACCAATCAACGGTTAATCTATTGATTTTTGTATTATAATTATAATTTTGTATATGGCTTTTTATACTTACGTACTCCTATCTACGTTTTTGGGTATAATAATGTATTCAGATACAATAAAAATACTTCATATTGTCATTAAATAATTTAAAATTCCTGTATTAATTGTCTTCATTTGCTTTTACTTTTAATTTGGATATCTTATAATTATTTATCTAATGAGTTATTATGTTAATTTAAGTATAGTTTATTCAAATACTGACCAGGAAATCTGAATTGACTGAAAGACTGAACCAGGTGAGAAAATAGCCTAGTTCACGTTTGATCGTTTTGTACGAGAGGGCGGTGTCCGGTAGACCGGTTATGTTTTAGTAAGATATGACCGGTTCTATTTCCAGTACTAAATTGTGTCTATAAAATGCGGTTATCCTTTGTAGAATGCACTTTGTTGACCATGCACACTAATTCCGAGGCCGATACACCGTAATATCATTGTGTGATATAATAGTCGAAGTCATCATATTTAAAAAAATAAATATTTATGCATATTATCATTTCCATAAATCATAGAGTTAAACAAAATGTCATAGTTATACAAATATAAGTATATTTATTTGAATTTCAAGTTTTATAGAAATTAAACAAAATGTGTCCATTAATAAAATAATAAGATTTTTTTATTTATCCTTTAAAGTTTTTCGGGTGAATAATAAGTATGCAGTGATACTCCAATTAGATTCAGGAATGTTTGTGAAAAAAAAATGTTGTTATTACTATTTTAAACGATGTACCTAAATAAACTAATAAACGGATAAATAATTTATTTGCATTGTTAATTTACCTACAACAGTTGAAATATTATATAAATTTAATAATTTATATATTATAAGTATACATAAATACATATATTAATATAGATTGAATTTGAATTTGTTTTTTAAATTTAAAAAAAAAAGTGCTACTGTTGGAGATAGATAAGTAATTGGAATTGGGAGTATTTAAATTGAAAACAATAATACGCATAGATCACAATCGAAACACTATACAAAGACAGGCACTGGCTGGCAAAAACTGATTAAACTTTGTTAATTATATGTTATTACCTATTTCATATAATAAATCATAACATTTCAAAACTATCATACAAATTGTGAAAATAACAGATTTTAGGAATATTCGAAAGTCTTACATTTTCAATAATTAAATCTCTTGCATCATGAGTCAGCAATCTTTTTACTTACGTAGGTCATATTTTTAAACTTCAAATGCTTAAAAAAAAATTTTAAATTAATGATTTTTTTAAGCTATGTAGATTAACGCATACTCGTAAATGATTTTGAATTGATATTTTAAGTTTTAAAATAAAAAATGAAGATTTTTTAAAATTAAATTAGAAAAACTATATTTTTGTTATTTTATCAGAAGTTATATGAAACTTATAAATAATAAAATAATTTATTAACTTACATACTTAATACAAATATATAATACTACCCATATATAAATAATGAATATTTATTAAAAATTTCAATTAGTTCAGTTTTCTGAATTATATTCAAGTAGCTAAAATTAATTTGGTCAAAAACAAAGGTATCGTAAATTGCATAGTTTTGATGTATTCTGTATGTGTTTAATTTTTAATAGGAAATTACATTTCTTAGAGACCTTAAGTAACATAAGGTGTTATGTTTTAATTATTTCAACGCTATTTCTTATAATAATTTATTTTATTGTTATATTATGTTATTACAAATAATTCCATTATTTTTCTTAATATTTTTTTGGAGGATTAAAAAGAATAAAAGTTGATAAACATTTAAATAGATATTCAAAAAATATACAAACAGTTTTTTAAAGATATGTTATTAATGTTATTGATATTGTTATAGGCGGTACTAGACTCTCTTGGCAGGGGGGGCAGGAAATGCTTTAAGTAAAATATTAACACTATTTTGTTTAAATCTTTAGACTAGCAATAGTATAAAAAAAGTATTTTATTGATAACTATTTTAACTTATTTCAAATAAGATTATTTTGTAAAATGAATAATACACTTACAAATACTTACATTTATATTATTTTTTCTTATAAAATTTTAAAATAATAACTTACCACAATTTACCTGTGGTGGTTCTCATAGGCGGACACAGAGTGATACATTTGAGTGTGCCCTGTCATTTTTTGGTTATTTTTTCAAAATATTAAGGGGAGGCTATAAACATGTACGTGTAGACCGTGTTATGGTTTAAATTCTAAAAATAAAGGATTCGTTAATGATGTAAAATAACGATTGGTAAAATATACACGTAATTATTATTTCAGACTTATTCTGAACACTTGCAATATTACTTACAAAAAACTAAAATTTAATTAATGTGTATGCACATATATTCTCAATTGTAATTATTCAATTTTTTTATTTGCATTATTCACATTAGGGTTAGGCACACTCGGCACACCTCATAGAGCCGCCAATGATGGTTCTTGTATGAAAAAATCGTATAAAGTTCTTATTTTTTTACTTTGGTTTGTGTATATAATTTTTATTATAATTAATATTATCCAAAAAACTCAAGAATACTAAATAAAATACACACTTCAAATTAAAGTAAAAAATTATACAAAACGTTTGTGATATAGATAATAATAAAGTAATAATATTGGTTCATGATTTGTCAATGATAAAAATAAATTATAATAATACTGAAAATTTTGACGCAAAAATCTTATCAGCATATTTACATGAATGGCTCCCAGGGTTGTAGATAATAATATTATTACTTACAACCATGCAGACTTTAAATAAACATGTAATATGAGGGGTTACCAACCAATATTTGAAATGTTTAAGTAGAGTAACAACTCGTAGAGGGGGCAGCCGCCTAACTTGCCCCTCCCGTAGAACCGTTTATGGATATTGTTATTGATGATAATAAACAAAACACGTTGTGTACAACTTTGGATAATAATTGATAATTTATATTGTTTATTTATGAGTTTATAGCAATTATGTGAAAAAATAATTGTTAAAACTTTTTCGATATTTATGAAATTTACTTTTAACTAACTATAAAGAGATCACATGTGATTAGGAAAAATATAAATCCAATGCCAAGAGAAAATAAAAAAATATTATACCTATTTATTTTATGATCATGTACAGAAGCAGCTTCCTTGACTAATTGAATTATTTATTAAAATTCTAGTCATCGAGTACATTAATTTGAATATCATTATGAACGCTTGGGTTTTATTACACACTTTTTATTCGTATGTTTTACTACTGGGTCATTTTTCTCGAAATCATATATAGATAGTATAATATAGTACATAGTATAATATAGTATATATTGTAAATATTAGTATCATTCAAATTGGATTATAATTGCTTTCAAGTATTTTTCATGCTGCTGGTTACTCTCGACTAATATTAAGACTGGGTTTAAAGCAAAATTATTTAGATTAAATTTCACTGCTACATTCCTTTGGCCTGGAGGTCACAAATTTAGACTTATGTGTAAAGTATTTGTAGTATTACTGCAAATATACAGCTTAGCGGGATCGAATCAAACACGTAGGCCGTAAGAACTTGATGTTAGTGTTGCAATGTTATATCGATGTTACCCTATGATATTGAAAATAGTAGAAATTGCGTTGCAACACACTCTTACACACATTATATTTATTTTTTAATAAAAAATGTACAATTTAAGATTCTTATTAAAATTAAAATTAATTATAGTGATGATACATGATACATTAAAATATAAAAATAACAAAGATTAAGACAGTAATATTTATTATTTATTACTGAAAATTTTAGTTTAAAAATTGGTTCCACATTAATACTATTTATTGTTTCATTTTTTTTCATCATTGGTAGTAAGTAATAATTAACAATTTTATTTTAGATGGCGAGGAAGCGTCTACAAGCTTGTATGGAGGGAATTAGCAGCCTATTTAATGGTTTATTTTGCATTAAATTTAGCATACAGGTTTGCATTCACCGAAGCTCAACAAAAGTATGTTACAATATTCAAAATAATAATTTTATAAAATGTATTAAAATAGTCTCCTTAGACGGAAATTTAAATAATTGGTATTAATTATATATACATTAGTAATTATAATAAGGTTTACAATTCAAGTAAAAAAAAAAAAAAAAAAAATCAAAGTATTATTAATAAATGGAACTTATAAACAACTTTTTTTGTTAATAATAAATATTTATATATTATCCTAATAATTCATAAATAAACATAATTTTATTATATTAGAATGGTAAAATTTGTTTGATATATAATTTAAGGATAACAATTTAATAATCTATTATTTATTTTAGGTTATTTATAAAAATTCGGTGTTACCTAGCTGGCCATTCTGCAAGTGTTCCATTAACGTTTGCCATGAGTTTCTATGTTGGCTTAGTAGTAAAACGATGGTGGGAACAGTATAGGTTGTTACCTTGGCCTGATACGTTGGCTCTTTTCGCAAGTGCTGCTATACCTGGAACCACGGTAAGAAAATAGTTTTAAAACAAATGTAATGAATCGTAAATATGTATACTTTTAAATGGCGTTTAAAAATGTGCTCATAATATCATAATCTAATGAGTCTCATGAATTTAAAGTGCATATAAATGTTAAATACCAACAAAAAAATTAAAAGTAAAAGTAAAAAGTTTTGATAAGCCATTCGAATATTATACACTTACAAAATTTACGTTTCAATTTTAAGAATTTCTTAAGAAAGTCCTACTTCATATTCATTTCAATAATTTTCAAATATATGTATAAGTATAAGTATTTAAAAAAAACTAGAAATTTCTAACAATGTGTTAGTTTTCTTTATGCCCTTAAGGGTTTTCAACATTTTCTTCTATAATATTATCTATCTTTTGAATATTCTTATATATTAAACGTTATTATAATAGTTATACTTTGTAAAAACACAATAGAGATGAATCTTAAATAAAGTCGATAATTTAATTTTGTATTTATATATACTCAAATCAAATATAATTCAAAATAATAATATGTGAGAGGTAGTAGTATCTATAGTGGTCAAGATGAGAGGAAATAGACTAAGATGGTTTGGGTATGTAATGAGACGAGAGAAAATAAATGCAGTAAGAGTTGTTATAAAAATGGACGTTGAATGGAAAAGAGGAAGAGGAAGACCAAAAAAGAGATGGTTGGATACGATTAATTGAGAATGATAAGAGGGTCGTTGGTGTGTGTGTACGGGATGTAGAAAATCGAGATGAGTGGAGGTTTAGGACAAGGATGGACGACCCCAAATAGTTGGGAGAAAGGTGAAGGAGAATAAGAAGAATAACATGTTGAAATGTAAATTTTAACATCTTACAGAGATAGTTTCAGTAGTAAATATTATAAATTTATTAAATCCCATAAATACATATTTTACTTTCATTGAATTCGAATAATAATAATAATAATAGTAATATTTTGTTATAATTAGGGGTCGGAATTATACTATTTTAAAAAAGCCAAAATAAGATCTTAATATTTTCTTAAAAAAATGAAAATATTCTTCCAATATTCTTTTCGAATCATAATAAAATATGCAAAAAATATCATATGTTTTTTTATAAATATATTTTCTTGAATTAAAAATAAGCATTTATATGCAAAATAATTAAGCAAATAATACAAAAAAACTTATATAAATAGGTACATAATATGCAAAATAATTAAGCACATAATACAAAAACCTGATATAAAGAGGTACATCATAAAAAATACTACATGTTAAAAAAAATTAAATTAAATTATATTAATGAGGTGTTTTTAATTAATAAAATGTTTGAAAACAGTTGACAACTGTATTTTGTTTTGTGTGCTCTGGTGTCATATTTGTACGACGGTTTATTAAAATGTTTTTTTATATGAAGAACATTCGACGATAACTGAAGTCACAGAAGCATGTAGCAAATCAGTTGTCATAGCCGGTGAAAAATTGTCTATAAGTTATAATTCATTATTTCCACTTAAAACGTTAGCTACGTTTTTAAAATTGATAAGCCTTTGATTTTTTTTTTTTGAAGTTGATCAATTTTTATTTTTATTTTATTTCTATTTTCTCTGGTATTTTTTTAAGTTTACCAATTGTATCTGCATCGTTATCTTAGATATTATCACTTATCTATCACAAACTATTACAGTAAATTACTATTTAGGGAAGCGTTTCTTAAACTTTTTTATCCGTGGAACCTTTTTTGATGTCTACATTTATCGTGGCACCCATACTTTTTTTTAGCTTTTTAGCATTTTTTAGGATTATTTATAAATAACTTATAATATTGTGTTAAAGGTATTCAAATTAATTCATATTAATTCAAAAAATATGTTAAAATAAAAATAAACATAATAATAATTGTATATATATATATATATATATATATAATAATAATACTTTTTCACCATTACTAATCTTTAGTTTGAAATTTTAAAGTAATTTTCTTAAAATTGTTTAAAAAATTACTTAAGTTTTGCGGAACCCTGAAGTGATCTTCGGGGAACCCAAGGGTTCCGCGGAACACAGTTTGATAAACGCTGATTTAGGGTATAATTATCATATAATACGATGGTATGTAATATATCAATATCATATCACTATTATCGGACATATTACTTATATTATTTACGCCACAGCAACAAAAAATATTGAACATCTATAAACATTAATCGATATATCCTCTGATATTCTTTATTATACGAGCTATTTTCAAATATGCAAAAAACATTTTTACCATTAATTTTCTTTTATCATGATTTGTTAAGATTTTGAACCTCCTTCTGACTGCATAGACTCAAAAACCATATGCAATAGAATATAATTCCTGCCCCAAGTTATAATATAATTTAATATTTATTTGCTTAAAAAAGGGAGATGTGAAATATTTATAACATAACATTGACTATTTATTTATCGAATAAAAGTGAATATTATACGAAAACCAACTTTTTATATTCATGTTAAACTATGTAATTAAATAAATTAGAAACCCTTAAAATATTAAATAAGTCTTGAATTATTCAAACCATGGTGTCATAGTTGTTAATATTTTATTTTTAAATGCTTACACCGTACTATACACAAAACAATATAATCTATTACAAAACTTAATCTAAGCAATGTAAGCATTTTACCTATGTTGTAGGCACGTCGAAAAACTTTTATTTGAAGGACGATTTAAAAGACTGTTGTTCACCCAATTACAATCACCCTTTACAATAGTAAATAATTTTGAATACAATTTGTATACAATGAAGATAAAAAATGTTTTATATTTAATTACTTTTTATATAACAAGTATTTTATTTACATTTAAATTATAAAGAATTAACCAAGAATTAAAGGCAGGTATGGAAAAATTACAAGTGGAGTTGTAGGACTTAAATATTTACGTTACATTCCGGAAGGATTGAGTATTATTATTATCACTAGTTATTTTATTTCAGGACGAGAGAGGACGATTAATGAGAAGAAATATTGTGAGGTATGCTGTACTGGCTTATGTTATCACTTTAAAACAGGTGAGCATAAGGGTGAAAAAACGATTTCCCACATTACAGCACATCGTTGATGCTGGTGAGTACTCAATCTCATTATATTCATAGAAATTCTAAATATGCACCGTCTCGGTTTGTAATTAAGTATAAATAGCCAATGATAGCCTACATAATAATATATAAAACTAGCAAATGTTTTACATAGCAGCAACATGGTTTATTGACTCGATTAATTATCTCTTTGAACACGTGGTACAACCGGTTTATTTTCGCATAGAATTTACTCAGAACCTGTTGGATATCAATTTATTTAAAGAATGTGACTGCGTACAAATTTAAAGTAGTTTCAAAATTAGATCATTCCGTAGATTTACAACAACCAGATTAATATAAAGTTCTTAATGAAGTTATCTGCGGGTGAAACGTCAGGGTGCAGTGTTACATATTGTATTCTGTAATAATCACTAGAGAATTTTCATCCGGATATGTTTGCATTATATTATATTAGCATACATCCGCAAAAATGTTTTACACATACTTTTGACCTAGAGCATAAATCCGTAGCGTTGAAAATGAAAATAATACATTATTATGTATGTGTTACAACAATGCCTAATAGTTGTGTTCGTATACAAGGCTATTATAATACACATACCTACTTACAGCTATAGGATGGGACTATTACGAATGGATTGGTTTTGACAACAATGGTCAATTGACATCATTTTATCTTGTCATGTTTTATTCGATTACGCATTTCGATAGGGCTTAGATTCTAACACAGGCTACGCGTACGCACGGCGTATTATACGCATATTATAACAAACAAACAAACAACGTTACCTATTACTCAATTACAGTTAAATCTATATGTCATCTCTTGTCGTGTACGTGAATATTGGTGCATTAATATTTTCCATGTTCAGTATAGTAAATATTAATTATATTACAATGAATAATATTGTTGAATGTTACGAATGAAAGATTTTGCTTTGTTTTAATACCGTGCTCTTTCAGTTCAATCGCAGATAAAAATAAATTAATTCCAAACCATAGGATTATGGACCTATAGATATTAATTATGGTAAATTAAAAACATGTGTAAGAATTCTTTGTTTCATGACCTTTACATTAGGGTGTGACGGTGTTTATATTATTATGTTTAAAATAGTTTCTGGAAGTAAGCAATATATATATGTGTATATAATTGACATTATAATATTGTTTATTGATAATGGAAACAAAGTTTCAAGGATTTTTACTTCCGAGTTCTATAACCGTTATCAACGAATATTGGTTTTGAAATAATTATCTACATTTCTTACCATCATTTCATAGAGTATTTGTCATTTGATTACCAAATTAAAAATTGCACCTCAAAATCCATAACAATTTTATAAATGTGTACTTTATCTTTGATTTGTAATATTAAATATTTATATGTAGGTATAGAAATCGTGTTCGCTGTTCGATGTTTATCGTCTTAATTAATTTACTTATCATATTTAGTATTTGTAGTTTGCGTAGTCAATTTGTTTACATGTTCAGTAAAAAAAAAATTAAAATCGTTTTAAAATGTTTAGCACAAGTAATGTTTTTAAAATAATAATAATCATGTTAATGTTTTTCAAATATACTGTCACTCATAACTTCAGAGCAGTCAATAAACATAATAAATAAAATATTTCAAATAATAATAAAAAATAATAAATTATTATAATGCGAAGCGCCTAAATGGCGCGTAAAGCAAAAAAAAAAAAAATTATTAAAATAAATAGTTAATGCTTATGCAACTATATAAGTATTTATTATTTTGTAAGCTATTCGCGAACGAATGTTTTATTTCTCCGATTAAAAATAATTAATTTAAAAATATATGAATGGAGTAATTTTTTTTGAAAACAAAACATAATGTGTAATATAGCAAAAGTTTTTTTGACCTATCGCGATAGATATACAGGCATTATTGATATTATAAAAATATGTCTACAGAATGATTATAATGTGTGTTTCAATGGATGATGCTCTAAAAAACTTACAACTCAGGGTGAGGCGGACGGGGAGAATGGAAGGGGGTATTGAGTCCGGGTGTAATACACATGTTGTTGTTGTTGAACGTGTAACAAACTTGAACACGACACAGGAATCATGTTGGAGAGCGAAAAAAAAATCGTGGAAATGATGGACGAGAGGAGCCCGATGTCCAAGTATTGGATGCCATTGGTGTGGGCGACCAACATCATAAACCGGGCTCGCAGAGAATCGCTCATATCCAGCGACCAGGTAGTCCAGACGCTACTCGTTGAGTTGTCGGACATCAGGCGCAGACTGGGCTCTCTGATCAGCTATGACACCGTTTGCGTGCCGCTCGTCTACACACAGGTCAGCCATTTTGCCAATACCCTACCGACTACATATTATTATTGTTAATATGATCATACGTGTTTAGCAATTTCGTTCGTGTTTCATTTGTGTTTTCGTTTTCACGACGTACTCGTTTTTCCCGGTCACCTGCTGATTTTGTTTTAAACATATTTTTTTTTTCAACGCAACACAGCTGTATTTATAATTTTAGAATAAAGATCCCCATTTGTCATAGTGTGATATAATATTTTCTACAATCGGCACGATAATGCATTGAATTTAATGATAAAAAAAAAAAAATGTCGATCATTATTTACATGTGTTTACATCGAACGAATTTTTGATAACATGTATATAAATATATATTATACGCTTATGGTAAATCAATTATGATAAATTATAACTGTAAAATCAATTATGTCAGCAGATTTCTGGGGATAACTTGTTGTGATTTTCATGAATAATATTACACTTATTAATAACTGTAGTTTTTTTTCATTATTTCATTAAATACGGTAATAATAGTAAACGTGTTGATTTCTTGGTGTGACATTATTCATTCTCTTTTTGTGCTTGTTTGACTAACAGAGCTTTTGCTTTGCATGTGCATGCGTATATTAAACGATAAAACAAATACATAGTACGTACAGATGAATATTGGGAGTCGGATAATCGGATATTAAGCGTGTTACGAAAAATATTAGAAGTTTTGAAATTATGATCCTGGACCGGATAACTACATACAGAAATGTACTTAAAGGATCTATATTATGAATAAAAAAAAAAAATATATATATATATATTATAATCGTTGCGCCAAAACTATGGATTATTGTATGTAATAATATTCTTAAATCGGAATCTAAAGTTTAAATTACTTTTACTTGTATCACGTACCGAACTAATTGTGTCGGCTTTTTGGAAAACATACCTCCAGTGGCTCAGCATTTGAATCCATTTATAAAAGCTTAAGCTATTTGATATCCATTAAAACCAAGGCTGGTTATTATTAATTAACTTCACTATAATGTTACTGCCTTAATTTGTACATAATAATTTTATAACAAAACGAATTACTTTGTATAATATTATTATGTACCTCTACATACACTCACATACACACACACACGTATATATATTTAAACATACATATATACATTTATATATCTCGCGGTGATTGTGTTACAAAGGATAAACCCGTGTAACATCAGAAAGGTGAACGTTTTGCATGGCAGATAAATTTCACCTGTCACAAGATGTGTCAGGCATGCAAACGCGAATAGAACAACAGTATATTTTACATTTCTTTAAGAATAATTAATAATAACGCCAAAAAATCACACCGGTTGCGTCCGAGTCGATTTGGGTATTGTCAGAGTGTCCGATCAATGCATTACACGCGTTGTCTCATTATTTATCTGATTATTCTTATTATTTTAAAACCACCATAATTAGCATGACGCTCATCGATTGACTCAATATATGTATATATATATATATATTTATACGAACAGTTAATACCCAATTTACTTGATTACGTTGTGCGTGTAAGTAGGCACACATTCGTTGTTGTAAGTATGCACACGTAATCTAATTGCCGAGAGAAAGTGTAGTACCATGTATATTGAAAGACCGAAACAGAACTAATGTCTGTGCGTGAAAGAGCGTTATACATATGTACACGTATGTGTATAGTAAGAGAGAGATGAGCGAGGGCATTTACTGTTGTAATTTAACAGTTGCTATTTTTATACTTCACGTATATTTCCTATGCTTACAGTTTCTCTGAACAAAACTATTAATTATTTTATTATTGCGTGAAAATCAGTAGAAGTTTTGTTACATTAAATATTAATAATACTGATTTCGAATTAAAGAAATTAATGTAAGAGTCATAGCCGTGATGGGAATTTTATAGGCAATGTTGCATTTTAAAAATATTTACGTAAACAAATGGAATATATTTGATTTGGATTTATATGTACAGACTCCTATAACACATGTAGGTAGTTATGTCTGTGTCTGTGGGCGTATGTATTAAATTTCGAAATTGCAATTTATTATTCTTACATAAAATTGTTTTATTTTTTAGATCTTCTTATTTTTTTTTTTTTTTTTTATTTGACTTTCATGTTACATATACAATATGTTGTTATGTAAATGTGCTTATGTAAAATATGACTAATTTTCAAAAAATTTTCTCAAAAGGACGTTTATTTTTTAGATTTTTAATTTATTTATTTCGTTTAATTTAAGAGAATCAATGATTGATGATTAATTTAATCTCAGATTATATGATTTTATTGTTATGGCATCTGAATTTGAATATTGAATTTCCAAAATCACATTTCAATTGTTCATTTTTACTGTCACATTATTAGTCATCAGTGTAGTAAAAATTAATTAGGTACCCACTAAATCTTACTTCAATAATAATAGAGTATATCAATCGATAAATATAGTTTTATATGTTTGGCCAACGATACGAATATCAAAATAAGATAAAAATGTGTTAAATATCATTATATTGCTTCTTCAAAAAAAAGCAAATGAATGATAATTATGTCAGCCTAAAAAAAGAAAAAAAAGGATACCTGTGATGAAACGCATTTTTTGAAATATGGTGGACACAGGTTTGATGATGGATAGCGAGAAGGAGATACTTGAAACGGTGGAAGCGAAAACTGCGATGACGAATTATTGGATCCCATTGACTTGGGCTACCAACATCATAAACAGGGCCAGAAGAGAGAAATTGATATCAAACGATCATATGGTACAAACCATTCTGTTGGAGATGTCTGACATGAGGTACAGGCTGGGATCGCTGATCGGTTACGATAATGTCAACATTCCCATTCTCTACTCTCAGGTCGGTATAGCATTTACATTTATTCACAGACATTCTGGTGATGTGTTGCATGCATATCTTCTGTAGTTTTAGTATACTGTACCTTACATTAGTTATGCATATTATATTATACATGTAATTATTAACATAACGTATACTTGTATGAAAATAAAAACACACATATTTATACGAGAGCTTAAAACTTATTTTATATTTCTGCGGTTTCACGATAACCGCACAAAACAATATTATGTTCTTATCGGTTTTTTTTTTTGCATTTTTCGTCTTATCTTTATTGGATGATCAATTGGGCATACCAACAGGGCTATATAATGTAAAGCTATATAGTATTCTACAAGAAAACCGTATTATAGTGTTTGCCAGTCACGATTTACCGAAAAGAAATTGCTACATAAATCCAGCAAAAGCCATTTCATAAAATATATATTATATTGTAATTGTACTTCAAGTAATGAACATATAACCTTGGCCGTTCTACAGTTATTGTTGATTCTGCCTTCGGCTTGTGCTAATTTTTAAGTTCCGAATACCTTGGCAAACTAACAACGAACCTTTTTTGCGCTCCCAGCGATGCGTAATTACCACTTTGCTAATCATATGATGACGTCACAGCAATGTAGCATAATATAAATTTTCGCTTCAACGATAGTAATGTTAGATTGGTACTTATTTATTTATTATATATTTTTAATTAATTATGATTTTGGTTACGACGTAATGTATATTTACTAATTTTACAAGTTCAGAGAAATTCAAGCAATTAACAATTATAATAAAAAAATATTATAGTTCAGCTGTTTAGTTTCTTTAGAAAATTATAATTTCACAATATTGAAATTAATTTATGATTGTTTCAATAATTTTATATGAGTTAATACTTTACATATATAAATCGAACATTTATAAACATATTTTATTAATTATTATATTGAAAATTGATTACTAGTACCACGTATGTAAGAGTACAACAATTAAATTTCGAAAATCATAACAATAATCAAATATTTTGGTCATTGGTCAACCTCAAAATTTGAATTTTATTTTGTTGTCATTGACATATATTAATACAAGTAATAAGTAATAATAATAAAAATAAAAAATATATATTGCGCGGGTGTTTTATAAATAAACAACAATATCTACTTAAATAATACAGCAATGTAACGATTATGAAATAATTTAAAGTATAAATTACTATTTATTTTCATTATTGACCTAAAATTATTCTTGGTATAATAATATCATATAATAATACTTGCAGTCAATTATAAAATGTATTAGATATATTTATTTTACATTGCTATTAGTAGGGTAATAATTAAGTTTTAAAGTTAAAATATACGTGATAAGGAATGTGGTAGCCGCAATAGCTTCCGTTAAGTTGTGTTACAATTTTTATTTTTTAATTCTAATTGTTGTTTACGATTTTCTTCGGTCTCGCCGATTTAAATGCATCGAACCATGCAAGGTTGTAGGTATCTAAATGCAATAATAAAAATATATACAAAAAAAAAAAAACACGAATGTTACTTGAATTCGACTCGTTGAATATCGCTTTCGGAAACAATGATGTTCCGAAGAGGAGTAGAAAAAATTCAAAAACAAAAAATTTACGTAAATGTTACAATACTCAACTACGTGGGTAAATATTCGGTTGAGTGATTATTGTTAATAGCAGTATCACTATGTTGTAAAAATTACCTTGACTATGATTTTATCATGCTCTTTATACTATTAAAATGTATTCGAATCAGATCTGGTGCATTATAGACTATATAGTTTTTATGGCGATACTATATTTACCTATTATTATTATTATATATGTATTTTCTGGGATACAAACTAGAACCGATTGTAACTCATCCTTATAAATACGATAATGGATAATATAAAGGAAAGGGAATTTGGTTTTTTATACTGAATAATCTATTAACTAAAGAATGGGGACTTAGCTGATGACAAAGGTGTAATATCAAGCATATACCATGTGTTCACCAATTTAGGGAACACAGAATTATGTTGGAATAAATAGAATTTTTTTTTTACAAGCTAGTGTTATATAAATACACATTTTCAGATAAATTTCAAATTTTTAACTCTCTCGGTACGCGCATGCGCAATACAACTTATTTTTTTTTTGAATAGCAACCGGTATTTTTAATACCAAATTCGGATAGACTGATTTTTTTAAGTCATTTTGACCAATTAACCATGGCTCGATGTATAATGTATAAATGTATACATAATAACCTAGATTCTGATGTACCCTTTTCTTACATTCAAGATTTCATAAAATACTTCATAACAAAACATGGGGAGTAAAAATGAATGAATTTAAGTTAATTTATTGTACATTTACCTTTCGCCACAAAATATGTCCAATAATTTGCCTCAATAATCAGCCCCTTTTCCTCATGCGTTATCTCAGTTCCTTTATAGATATTCGAATTGCCTGACAATTAGACATAATAGCAAAACTTTATCACTAAACAACCGTTTCCGACTCCTTTAACCACTTCCACTTTCTAAATACATAAAATTTTCTAAGAAACTCTAGCTTTAATAACTTTACTGAGGCCCATATGGATTTGTAGCATTTACTTACGAAGCACTGCCGAAATATAAAATACCTACCATATTTAAAGATATCCGTTCAAAGCCCTCACATAATTTCTAAAATTTCATTATAGTACAGTATTTTTTTTTAGTAAGTTGGACATTAAACGCGAATATTAAATACGAGTCCATAAATTGAATAAGATTAGAATAACTAAAAACGATACATTACTTAGAAATAATTATGTTTCTTTTGGAAATGTCGAATATATTTATTTATACCAATTCGATCTCTAAGTTACGTATATCATTTAAACGCTTCGAGCTCTAAATTAGAAATACACGTACATATTTTATAACATATTTATATAGCTAGTCATGTTATGTACACATGTTTATAGAAATCTGTCAAAACCAGAAATAAAATAATATCCATCTGACGGTTGATATTAATTATTATGGTGTGTTAATAATTTATAATAAATATTAATATATAAATGTTAATAATACAGTCGCTATACTAAATATAATATATTTTTAATATAACTTATAAGAATACATCAAATATACGCAGACTAGTCGATAGTAAGAGTATATAAATAATTTAACATTATTGTTTGTGTATAGTTGATGATTAATGTTTTTATCAGGGAGAGAATATTTTTCACTTTCCAATAAATAAAATAGAGACTACAGTATAAAACTTTTTTAATAGATTTCGGTTAGTTAGGTTCTAATAATTGTATAAATTAAATTCAACTTGACAGCTGTTTTAAATAATTTTAAGTAAGAATATAAAATTTATAGTAGTTGAAATAATTCATATAGAAAAAATAATATTTAAGATTTAAATTAAAAAGAGGTAATGAATCAACATAACTACCAGGAGAGATTTTATTAATTTAAAATTGAATCCAGTTAATAATAATCAAGAAATTACTAACTTATAATTGGTGTTTTCCAAAAATTTGTAGATTGCTTATGAGTAGGAAATTGTCATCAGGTGGATTGATTGCTAAGCGAGCGTGATTTTATTTAATATTTTTAATCCATGGTACTAATTTTTTTGTGGTTTTTGTGTCGGCTTTGTAGAAAGTAATGATTTTATTTTCGAAGACAGATTGTGACTGAGTTATATTAGAGTGATTTTCATCATATTTTCACACATTTTGGGCAAATTGAATAAAAGTTTTTTCCATGTGAAAATAAGACTCATAGTGTATACATCGATAACTATGTTCTCCCTAAGTTAATTTTATAAGTATGCAGAGGGTGATAAATAATTTATAATATCATCATTTTTACTGGCCACCATATGGTGACAACATTGTCAACTCGAAAGAGTTGAATCGTGTCAATATATTATGGAACTGAATAATTACATGACCTTGGGCCAAATGATCTCAACTAGGTATACAGTATGTTGGTAGATGGGTAATGATTTTAAATTAAAATTATATTTAGTATATGTTTGATGTAAAAATTTATAATATTCAATTATTCCATACTTATTAGAATAATCGATGATTGTGTCGTAATCAACGTGTTTATCAGCAATATTTAAATTTGGTTGTATTACTATGAAAAACATGGTAGCTAGATCAAATAAATTTAAAATGTCATTTTTGATTGTAGCAAATTTTTATTAATATAAACGGGTTGAATGGTGATGGGTTATTTTTATATATTATTGTGGACTTAATTGTTTGTTGAGTTGATTTTAGATCTGCAGCAGTTGTATTGTATATTGTCTGTAATGAATAAATACATTTCTCAAGCTCTTAGCCTCGAAATTACATACTTTTTTGTGAGGTCAACGCTTTAGATTTTTTTTTGGATTTTAGGAGGTAGATTTGTTTACAAATGAGGTTGTTTGACTTTAGGCATTAAAGTTTGCTTATCTTTTATACGATGTTTTTTAGATTTTAGGAATTTCGTTAATTAAATATTTTATTTAATAATACACTTAATATTTTTATTAGAAAATTTTTACAATCTTGAAATATTTCCATTCCATAAAAAAGTTAACAAATTCAAAAAAAATTAAAAATGTCATTATGAATACCTGGGTATACAATAGAAATCGTATTGACAATCTTGCTTATTTTGATACATTTCTCAGTTGTTCAATAGACTTACAGTTGTATAATACTCGTACTAAAAATGTTTTATCAGGGGGTCTGTTTTAAATAAAGAATACATGAGCTTTTTTATTATTAAATTGCTTTATGTAACATAAATATAATTTTTTTCAACCATTTTGAAAATAAAACCCATAACATCTCTGTTTTGTAACATAATTAAGATAATTGTTTAAAATTAAATTTTCTTTTAAAAATACCATTCAATGTACAATTTTTTTATGTTAACCTTGGGACTTATAAATTACATGTTATTATCTTGGATTTTTCATATCACGATCTTCCGGCCCTAAGCATAATTCATCGACTTCTATAAACAATAAATAGAACTCGTATATAATTTATGATTAAATTTCGAATAATACAGTGGATTCAAATTTAACCATTAAATGAATCAAATCTTTAAAATCTAATTTTTCTGTAGTATGTATGATTAATGAGTGAATTTATTAAAGTTAAAATAACCTTGGCAATTGATATTGAAATAAATGTTTGTTAACCACAATACTGCAGTATTCATGAAACTTGCATCATAAATAGTTTGACGGTTCACGTTTTAACCAACCGTAAAGTGTAATTCACCTTTTTAATACCATTACTCACATGTAAGTAGGAATTACTGGTAATAAAGTTGGTCATTATTTAGATTTAAATTTGAGTCTTAATAACAAAACTTGCAGGAATTTTTAATTAAGAATTAAAGTAAAAAAAAAAAAAAAAAATCGCAAAGAATATTATGTAATATTTAAATTATTTAATCTACATTTTTTGACTATACATGCCTCGTTATAAGAGTATACAATTATACGTATTTAAGCAAAACATTAACAACTTCATTAGATTAAGTGTACTTACTTTTTTTTTACTTTTGTATGTATCTATATGTATTTCTGTACTCTGTAATTTATTATGGTTATAACTCATTACTTATAATTTATAAATACAATATAACGTTTTGGTTATAATGATTAGAATACAAAAATACTTTGTTAAACAATAGGTGGTAACATTGTCGTTGTACGCTTATTTCGGCGCTCAACTTGTTGGTGCTCAGATGGTAGAACCACCTCCCGAATGGGGTTTCAAAGATTTTAAGGAATTCGACTTATACATACCGTTGTTGACAATTATTGAGGTTTGGAATTCTATTTTTTTTTAAATTGCAAAAATAATCATATTTTTTTTATCTACTACCACACAGTTTTGTTTTTTTGTCGGATGGTTGAAAGTAGCGGAAGTTCTCATAGGACCCTTTGGCGAAGATGACGATGACATTGAGCTTAACTGGTTGATTGATCGTCACATAAAGGTAATAATAATCGTATTGTATTGTAAGAACAAAAAGAAACAGTTACCGGAAGTAGTTCTCAATTGGAAATCATGCAGATTATGTTTCCACCTTGTTTTGCTACGTATTATTAATACTTTCTTTTTCATTTAATGAGTATATTTACCCATAATATGTGTTTACAAAACCATTCGTTTAGACTTGAGATTATAAAAAAAATGTTTTTTTATTTTGTCTATAATTATGTAATAGTTTTGATTTGCCTATTTATAAATATTATAACGTTTATTTGATAACATAAAAATTCATACTCGCAAAATTGTATGACGTTTGTATGCATTAAAGTAATTCGTTAAAACTCGTTATATTTATATATATAACTATATAAATTCTACAATAATGTAATGAAGACAATCAAGCTATCTCATCTTACATGCATGTATTTGTTTAACTAAACAAGTTTGTCCAGTTTTCGTATAAAATATAAACATTTGGAATTCAGATGCGAATTTTTTTTTATATTTTATATATTTTTATGATTTGTAAAATACAACAATAGTTGTACGACTTTCACTTATAAACCATATTTAAATCGTTCTACTGACAAATTTTTTCTCGTATCAGTGAATTAATTTTATTTGTTTTTAATTCTCATTAGCAAATAACTTAAAATATTGATCAAGCGAAAACGTATATGTACCTGTATAATAAATTACGCCCGCGGTTTTTGTTTTAAGGTAAGCACATAGGCGTGACAGAACGAGAGGCCATGTCCCTCTAATATTCTTAATATTCTTATATATTTACCGTTTAATGAGTATTCCAATAATGCCAAACTTAATAAAATTATGATTAGGGTCAAGGCTTAATTACATTAATATTTTAGCCTGAACTATATAGCAGTAAGTATATCACTAGATTGCTTCCCTCTTCTACTATAGGTTGAATATTGTATTATAACACATAAATTAAAAATCTATTCGTTCAATAAATTAACCTCGTGTTAGTGATGTATTTTATGTTCAACTTTATGCAAAACAATGAAGATAGTTTCCTCTTTGTAGTTTCACATACTATACCTACAATTTGCGTATTTAGGCGGCGTACATGATTGTGGATGAAATGCACGAAGAACATCCGGAATTGCTGAAAGACCAGTATTGGGACGAAGTTGTACCCAAAGACTTGCCGTACACAGTAGCATCGGAACACTACAGACGAGAAGAGCCCAAAGGATCAGCCGATAAATATAAGGTCAAAGAGTCGGATTCGTTGTATGCGAATATGGCACCAGTGAACCATATACATTGCAGGAAATCCGCAGTGCCAGAGGACATGTACGCAGACTATGTAAGTTCAATATTATTATAATATAATGACAAGAGTAATATTGATAAAGGTGCATTTATTGCCAGTTTGACTGTGGTGTATCAGATTTTGTTTGTTAGTTTGTTAAGTTAAATACCATAGGAAATAGTGAATTCAATTTTAAAATCGAAATATATATGCTTTTGTAAAAATATAAAACAAAACGGGGAAGAGAAGTATAATTAAAAATATTATTATTCAAAAAATATAATAATATAGGTTTACTTTACGCAGTAAAACGATATTTTCAATCTTTGATTTATGATGATGAGGTTGAAGAAGCCGTGCCTTTTCCGAAATGTTCGTGAAATATAAAAGCGTATAAATGTTATAATTTCTGAGGACTACTGACAGTTATGCGTTAGAATACCATATTCAAGTATTAAAGTTAACATGTTTTCTCGTTTTTATGTAATGAATTTGACGTAAAGAAGTTATAAATCAAATTATATATGAATTGAAATACAAAATAATAGTAATATTGTACAATGTAAACAATGACTACACTGCATTGTTCCTGTTGTACAATAGTAAAAAATATTGTCCATGCCAAAAATATACTTGAAAACACTCGTCCAACTGAGATCTGTAAAATCATAATTTGTACTTTGAATTCTATTGCTATTATTATTATTATTATTATTATTACTACTACTATCACAATTAGTTCTTCTAAAATAAGATTGTTAACATGGTATAATAATCCCTTCTTTGAAATCGAGAGAAAACCACAATATTAATAAATATATTTACGATTATGTATGGATTATCAATTTAGTGATACATGTTACTTTTATGTTTCATTTCACTACTTAAAAATAGTAAGTCCTCAAACCCTTTAAAATAATGTGTGTTTGCGAGAAAATCATATCTGTAAACGCGAAGAGATTAATGAACCCAGACAGATGGTAAGTACGTTTGTGCTATATATCATATTGTATCCAATGTACATTTTTGTTTTTTTTTCTTATCTTCCTTAGTATGTGTATGTGTGTGTGTAGATATATCTGATCGAAGGTCAAGCGGTCGTGTAGGAATGCATATCGGGATCCCACAGGTGATACGTACTAGTAGTAGTTAAAGTAGTATAAATAAAACGAATTATTACTTACTGCAGTACTATATTGCCTATTCGGTATTGTCGGTTCGGGTATTATTACTAATAATAATTTATTAGAATTTTGATACTATTCTAAACATTCTCTCATATTATTATCGTATTATTATTACATTATTACGTCTTGTTTATCCTATATTTTATACTCGCAATGGTTTGAAAAATCGCAGTCGTCAAGTGTTCAAATATTTTATGGTTGATTTTTTTTTTTTAATATTTAAAACACGAATTAGTTTTAAGTCATTACTAACACTTCCTGGAATAGAGAAATTTTTTTTATTTATTTCTATTGTTATATTGATTCCACGTTTGAATTTAGTAACTATGCGCGTTGTGAATTAACAATTTTATATTTTCTAATATATGTTCCTATGTATGTAATTGTAATTAAATCATTGCAATTCCTCTACTTCTCTAATAGCTAAATCAAATAACCGATACTACTTTATAATTATTATGCGTGTTAAATGGACATACCCAGATAAAACTCATGGGTGGTTTTCGAGAAAGCTGAATATTTTACTTTCATTTGTGTTTTCAAAATGTTTATGAATGTAATCGTGCTGGGAAATTCGAATGTATAATAACGTAATGACGTTTATCACATACATATCTGTATATGACTAATTTCTAATAGAAAACGATTAATTTGAATGTCGCAGTAAAAAATCTATTATCATTGTACATTTGTGCACTAATATGATTATTTGTTTATTTCCAATGTTGTATCTACGATACAGGTACTGGCCAAATAGCAACACACTAAAATAATAGGTATTATATTCACACGATTGCTGGTCACATTTCAATGGTCATTGTTTTATGGAATGGCATTTTGAGAGGAGCGTATAATGAATCTGCCAAAAAGGTCTTTTTATCTGTAAGAAATTTATCGACTGCGTTAGGTGTTGATCGCCCTGAATATTAGTTAATATATATACACGAATACAAATAATCACAAGAACATAATAATCTGATTAAATTCAATAAGCCTTGATATTTTATTTCCAATATTACCAATAATCACATATTAAAATATTTAATAGCATTTCACAGTTAAGCAAATAATTAAATTCGCTGGAACCGCCGAAAGCAGAGGTTCGCTGGAAACAATAATATGTGTCTACATAATCTAAAAACAAAATATAGTAATATTCATTATATTTATAAGTTTATAAAAAATTGATTTTTTTTATCAAATCATACCATAATTGTTTTTACGGAACTTACCTACTAAAATTATAATTTACAAAATTAATTAAATATAGTTTACAAATTTTAGGCATAATCAGTAAAAAAACAGCAGAATCGATAATATTTCTATGAGAATTGTTCGAGATATCAGTTTTTCGATTTATATTGCTGTGTACAATATAGTTATAAAGTGACTCTAGTGCCACAGTTATGTGAGGTGATGAACTTCATCGTATATATTATATTTGTTAAAATATTTGAATAATTTATTGAGCACTGATGTAATAATGCCAGGTTATATATTAAATCTAATTAATTCGAGAAAATGTCTTCTATATTTAGGAAAATATTGTACAATCTATATTATAAGTATACATATTTATGTTCATTTTAATTAATTTTAATAATACATAGCTACATAGACATGAAGAGACATGGGCAGAAATTACCAACTCCATTTTATCTTGTTCACCTATTCAGAAAGTCTGATTTAAAATAAATAAACGTTTCTATTATTTTATACATTAAAATTTCATGAACTTAATAGTTGATCGAAACCTTATCTATCAATTAATTATTTTGCTATTTCATGTGTAAACTAATAATTAAATTATTATTGAAAACTATGTATATTATTTATTTTGCTATCTGTTCATTGTTAAAAAAATAGTGAACATATTAGATTTTGAGTGCAGCGAGGAATATGTTTTTTTTTGCTTAATACAACATCAAAAATAATAAAAATTCATGCGGGTGTTTTTATTTCTAGGAGAGCGTCGACACACCTATGGCCGAACGCCGTAAAAATTGGTTCCAACGACAAATACATCGGGTAGGATCCATTAGATCGTCATCAACTACTTATTCATCCGGTGGCCTATTCAATCGAACCAGACACAACTCAGTTTACTCGAGTCCTGAAAATGGTTTGCCTGTTGCTCCAGGATTGAATGGCCACCTCAATTGTATTAACGGTAGTACACCTCATCTACAAAAGATAACGCTGTACGATCGGCTGTGGGGTAGAAAGTCAATGAAAAGTCGACGAGGCAGTACTCAAGGTATAAATTATATTATTGTAATAGATATTTAAATACATAGACCATTTATTCGAAATTGATAGCATTGATAGGATTGATATTAAATACAAGTTGTGTTAGACGCAGTGGCGTATCCAGAATTTTTTTTTGGGGGTTGTTATAAAAAATGCAACATTACATTTTTTTTGAATTTTGTGTGTTTTTATTATAATCAATAGACAATATACATACACTAAACATTTTCAGGGGGAGGGGGGTATAACCCCCTAACCCCCCCTGGATACGCCACTGGTTAGACGTATTATAAACGAACATTTTACTGAAGGGTTCCAATATTTTATAACTCATTTGGTATTTAACAATGTATCACATTTAATTCAATTTAATTGCATAGGTTTTTGTTTATGTTTAATTAAGGGTTGATTGGATTGACGTTGATAAAAAATGTTAACATATGTATTTAAGAATCATGTGTTTCTATTCATGTAAATGTAAGAAAACGGAAAATCCTTTCGGTGCTTACAATAATTATTAGTACTATACGAGTACATTCTTTAAAACGATACTGGTTTTCAAGGTCGTTATGTTAAATACCTGTTTGCTTTTTTGTTTTAATTGAGCTGAAATCAACCAAACACATGTAGTTTTCAAATACAAATGCTAAATAGGTTTAGGTTGGGAATTCTAGTGCGTCATTGAATCTTGTCAGATGAAAAAACCATATCAATGAATATGAAGAGATTAAAAACTTTCTTGTTATACTTGCCATTTACTAAATCTTTCGTAACGAGTTTCCGAATTAAAAATACGCGGAATCATTGCTATAATCATTAAAACAGAGCTACATGTTTTCACTTTTTGCACTACTGACAAATGTGTCAACTATTAGGTGTATAACATATTGCAAATATAAAATAGTGATAAAATCAAAAATTAATGTTCTTACAACTTGAATACATTTTTAAAGCTGATTCCATTATACGTTTATTGCAATCTTTAGTTTCTATTATCAAGCCACAATATTTCATAACATACTTAATAATGCTAATAAATTATATGAACGTTAGAAAATTTTACAAGTTATTCTTATTTTTATTTGTATAAAATAAATTATTGTTCACTCTTATAAAAAATGATTAATTCATTGTCTCACAGAATCTATAATTATAATAAAAAAAATAATTATTTATATGTGTTTGATAAATATATTTTTATTTATTTTATTACATAAAAAACGGGTTTTAATTAAAAAACAATCATAAGTACATACCAAATATACTTCCTAAATGACAAATAACTTATGTACAATTTAAACATGAATAATTTAGTTTCGATGCAAAAGTTGAGGCCCTCATTAGCGAAACGTAATAGTATATTGTAGTAGTTATAAATGTATATCCAAACATTTTTTTACCGACCGTCATTAAGGTTAATCAACATTTTGATTCGGCAATAATATATTAGTTTTAAATTGCTTTTTTTTTTTTTTTTTTTTTTTGTAATTGGTATAAGAAAGTTTCTATTCTTATTATATAAAACGCATTTCAAATAAAACTTTAAAATAGTATGTCTGATTATAATAAATTGCTTTTAATGTTAATTGTAATAGCACAAACGTGCTGAAACATTTCAAAAAATAATAAATGAAAAAAAAACATGTCTTACTCATTGTTGAAAATCGGTATATTTTTCCATTCGAAAAAAAACTCTAGACAATATCAAATGTTATACAATATTATAATCCAAACACTTGTATTGTGCTTAATTAATTATACACACTATTAGGTGTTAAAAAATAAAAAAATTATTTACTTGGCTTAAATAGCAATAATATTATTTCAGCCATAGATAATTTACATTTTACCGTACACATGACCGACACAGCGTTTAGGTGTAATATTGCGTATTCCGAACGACACACACATTGGAGTATATCGATAAAATAAACAAAATTATGGGCATATTCAAAAAATATGCATTAGAATAGTTTTTCATTAGATTTTATTTATGGATCCTACCGTGTAGCTTGCTTAACCTTTTTTGGCCTTTATCGATGTGAACGTATCTTCTTACATTATTAACTGTTGTATTATACGACATTAATCTATTTATGAACATTTATAGATTATATAAATGTTCATAAATAGATTACGAATACATACGAGTATAAATCTAGTGTTTCTTGACCAGTGGTACGCAAAGAATATTTTCAAAATTACAAGTAGTATTGTAGTACTGAAATACAAAAATATATAACTAGTGTCACAGCAGCCATTTGGATAAATAAATAAATATTGTATTTATGCGATACCCACTTGAGTAAAAGTGCGGGTACAAGGGGGACGTGAGAGCGATTCTCCCCCCCCCCCCCAAAATATCACGAAACAAAACGAAAAAAAAATTATAATATTATATGTCAATCAATGATAACAATTTTACTATTTCTATAGCAACTATAGTTGTATTGACGTGTTTACAAAAACCAAAAAAAAATTAGATTTCGCTCTATAATTTTTAATTAAATTTCATATTTAATGTTTATTTATTGTTCTTAAATAAAAAGTTTTTTATTAAATGTACTTATTTTTTTTACTTTTTTAGTTGAAAGTTTATTCCTTTACGGTGTTAAGAAATATTTATGGTAAATGGTAATACTTATAATATTATAGAATTATTTAATTTTATATATTATATTATGTTCACCATATAAAAGGCCCTTCCCTAATAATTTCTTTGGATCCGCGTCTTCTGCAATATAATATTATAGAGTTATACAGCTTAATTTTGAACTATAAAATAATATCTATCAATTAAAATATTATGTTAATAATGATGACTATAGTGATATTTTTCAAATTTACTAGTTTTTGTTTATTGCCGAATATAGTATACCAAACAGGGATTATCGTGCTTCAAATTGTACTAAGTGGGCGATTTTAATTATATATGACAGCTTATATGAGTATTTATCTAGAAGATAATAAAATAGAATTAAATGACTGTTGGGAATGCATTAAGATACAATAAAAGCTACATGCATTAATAGTTTATCGTTTTTTTAATTGAATACATTTTTTTTTATTTATTAAAAATTAAACTTAATGAGCCAAGCATAAATTCAATAGAGATCCTATATATATTTAATAAACGCTATGATTGATGTACAGCGTTTACATGGAGTGTGACAATATTTTAAAGACCCTGTACACATATAATGTATATAACATAGAGTTAATGCATATACTCTTAACGTTGAATAGTTTTTAATATTTATAATGGAAAAAAAACACAAGGGTTTTTTTATTTTTGCCCGAGGGACTCTTACATGCAATAAGTATTATGGTTATAACGCTTATTCCCGTTATGTCTACTGTTCCACATTTTAAATCAGTTCGTTGTCGTCGTATTACTATAAAAAATATAAATATTATACGTTTTACTTTTAGGTTCGAACAAGATAAATGGACAAATGAATGCCAGAGGAAGGCCTAGAATTCCAACGCCGGATGTTCAAAAGGACGGTGTCATCGATAAGGATAACAAACAAAATATATCCAGCAACGGTACTGTCCAGCCAGGAACGTATCCACCAGACATACCCGCAGTCGTTCAGGTAGTTTTTACATTTTTACAAAACATCGGTATATAATAATATACAGTGTAGCTATTGATTGGATAGATACCTACAAGTTTTGTCAATAATTGACACACGATATAACGTACGTATTATAGGTACATGTAACGTAATTAACTTTTAAAAATATTACCAAAACTGGCTAACATATTATATGGTATTGGATAATTTGAGTTCAATTATTTAAAACATGATACATACGCGCAATTTTATATACAAATAATAAACAAATAATTCAACAAATAGGTGATTTATACATGGAAATAAATAAATAAAATAATACATGTTTAGCCTGATTTATTATTATTATATTTGTAAAGTATGAACAGTTTCGAATTAAAAATTCATCATCAGGTATTTACATAGTCATTAAAATCATCACTCTTTTATTTATTTATTTATATTTATGACCTATTTTGAAAACTATTTTGAAAACCGGGGCAGTCCCGGTTTTAAAGGCATATTTCCGGCAGGGGCGAATCCAGAAATATTTTGCGGAGGGGATGAAGAAACAAACTTACACACTAGTCACTAAACAATAAATATAAAATTATACTATTTTATTTTTCGTTATTTTATAATACTCTGGTTAGTAGATGTAATGAACTCCAAAAAATAATCGAAAACCCAGTATATTACATTAAACATAACACAAACCTACTTTTAAGGATTTTTGGGGGCATGCGCCCCTCCCCTCCTTAGCTCCGCGTCTGTGTTTCAGCCGATCATTCAGTTTGTCCCGGTTAATAGAAGCTGAGAGAAAATAATATTTTATATTGTATTATTTAATAATAAAAAACTAAAATAGTTGTAATAGCACTAAATGTGCTGAAACATTTTATAATTATAATAAATAAATAAAAAAAAAAATAAAACATAGAACAATATTGTACATTATATCATTAAATTATGGTTATCTAATCGGCATGGTCATATACAATAATAATGTATTTTTGTATTAGCTAATAAATATTTAAATTATAATATGATGTACTTATTTTTGTTTTCGTATGAACGTTACATAAAAAAAAAAAAAAAGGTTCATTCAATATAATGTCCTGATTTAGAAATTTCAAAATTTGGCAACCCTACTTATAGTTCAACCGCATTTGACTTTATCTGTAGTTAGGGTAAAATTTAGATGAATAATATAGATGTACTATTAATAATATAATATTTACTTATATAAAAGTTATATTTAACAAAATTGAAATCTCGAAAATATTTATACGTTTCATTATATGTTACATTATACGTTTCAATCGATTTCTTCACTTTTTGAAACTATTCAAATTTTAGTGTGCCTTTACATAGTATATTTTGATTTTTAAACTACATAAATTATATTTGTTTTTTTTTTTAATAACTTAAGCTAGTTTCGAGATTATTCTTCGTTAAAATGTCCTACTTTACTCTATTTTTTGTTTTTAGAGTCTTACAAAGATTTGAATCACTATATGATATAGGTGGTATAGTCAAAACCTTGGACATCTGTCGGTCATTTTTATACCATTATTGGATTAAATACTTTTTATGTTCATTAAACATGTAGGACCTGTAGGACTTAGCATTCCGAAGAGAGTGATTTTCTCCATTTCTTTATTTTTGTTTGATTATACAAGTACATTTAAATTTTGAATACATATTTTTTTAAAAATAATTTTTACAGTACAAACATATATTATTATAACATTTTTTTTTGATATATTTAGTTTTAAATCATTTTAATAAATGTTTTCGTTTACATTTTTAGATTAATTAAAATCAAAATAATCATACATAAATTATACATACTTAATTATATTAATATATAGTAAAACTCACCTAAGACGCTCTTTAAGGAACCTCTAGAGCGTTTTAAGCGGGAAAGCGTCTTATGCGGGAATGAAAAAAAAATGAAGTGATTGAAATAATATTTCAATCATATAACTCCATATTATGGAGTTAATTTTTTTATCATTGAACATAATTTAACGGGCAATACACTAATAAATTATGTATGTGTATGTAATTACATACATGTGTACATATATTTTTTGCTACTGAATTTAATTTAAAAAAATTACTATAAATATTTTATTATTGTTTATTAAAAAAATTGATATATTTTTGTTTGTTTACGATGCTGAAAATGCGTTTCAGCAAGAAAGTTTTTTTATTTTGTTTAGACAACTCAAAATTTCTTCAGAACTTTTTACAGAGGACAATACTTTTCGAATTTCTGTTAGGTGTTGCAAACCAACAGTAATTGTAGGAGTAGATACTGGATAATAATAATAGGTAACGATAAAATAGGTATAATGATAAAATAAAACGATACAACAATAAGAACATGTAAACAAGTAAAATTTCTATTTTTATCTCCACAAATCTTATAAAATTTATAGTAATCTGCTAAACAAAAGAGCATTTTATCCAATGAGATAGAGAAAAGCCAAGCGTATTAACAGATGGTTTTTACTTTGACTAGTATAGAAAATGTCTAGGGGCCGATGAAAAATAGCGTCTTATGCGGGAAAGCATCTTAAGCGGGAGCGTCTTAAGCGAGTTTTACTGTACTTAATTACGGTAGATATTTTGAATATCTCCTTTATGAAATCAATTCTAATCATTGTAAATCAAATCCTCAATTAATAATAATAAAAAAATAATAATAATAATAATAATTATTATTAATTATATATTCATACATAAAGATTACCTACTTATATATAGTATTGCGAATTGTGAAGCTAAATTTGATTTTGATAATTACAAAAATATATTTCGCGTTAAAATTATTTTGATTATAATTACCTAGATAATTACTTATATTATTTTTCACTATAGTTTAAACTCTGTTTTCAATCACATAATTTAAAGTATATGTCATACTATAGAATAAGTTATTAGAAATACTGTTAAAATGATAGTTTAGTTGAATTGAATTAAGTTTGAAAACGACATCCACTTCGATTTTTGAAAATAAAAATACATGTTGATACAATTATTTAGAAATGTTAAAATGACGATTGAATATTATTTAATGATTAGCATAATACATATTTACTCATTATTTTTGCATTAATTTAGACAATTACAAATATTAAGTGTTTATTACCGTAATTATTAACAAATATTTGGTAAACAATTTTTTATCGTTATTAAAAATCGATTATAATTTAATTAAACTCAATGACACAATTAATAACTTATAATTATAACATATATTTTATGGTACAATTTTCATTTCTATTACTATCATATTATATATTATTTGTAAAATTTAATCAATTTTTGAGTTATTTTGCTGAATTAGTAATGGAAAACATCTGTTCAGTAATAACTACATGATCGGTCGTTTGTAAAATATACTTCAAGCTCAACAAACTCCTCTTGTTCATTATTTAACATTTATTTAAACTTAAATTTAACCTACTCAAATAAGTGATATTCGTTTCTCCTTCACGATTCACAAAATTGTATTCTTTGTATTGTTGTAAAATGCAAAATAATAACATGATTTGGTTTTAAAAAATTATACATTCTATCTGTGAAAATACAATTTTTTACTCTCTCGACTTATTTTAAATATTTTAATAATATGCAGCAGTATATATATATATATATTTACAACAAGAGTTGTTATAGGTAGGTAAGCTCACATTTCGAGTTCCAATAAAAATAGTATTCTTTTAAATAATATTATTTTAAATGAAATCTATAAGAAAATATGTCAAAAATATTCAAGACTTTCTCCATACCATATATAAACACAGCTATAACGTTTTGGGGTGAGCCATTATAGCCATTATACAATGTATAACATGTCATGTTAACAATCGTTCACCTGTGATGATCACTCTTTCCACTTAAACACGAATTCCATTTTGTGCAGAGCCAATATTGTTTTATAGAATAAATTGTATTATATAAGTATAATATTATGGGTGCGCTCTAAATTACTAGAGTAAGAATTTTCAAAACACCTGAAGATCAAACGATTAATGGTTTTTTTTATTAGCGAGTGACATTATGTATATTTCTTAAAATATAAATAGTTACCAAGTTTTAAAAAATAATCTAATTCGATCGACAAGATAATCGGGGATCAAACAATTAAAATGTGGATAAATTTTACAAATCCCATAGTAAATTTTGAAATTTTTTTGAAATTGCAGAAATAACAGTATACAATATTTAAAATAACAATTTTTTAAAGTTTTTATTGTTTTATTTATTAATAACCCAGTGAATGGGAATATTTGAAGAATGTTTATAAGATACCAGCTAAAAATTTTTCTGTTTTAATTATCTTGAAAAACCTTTTATAAAATATGAATTACTTATTTTCATTCGATAACTGATTGATGTTAAAATTGTAAATGTATTCGTTATAATTTAATTTTTAAAAGTAAGATAACTTTTTAAAAACACAATTTACCAATTGGTTTTTGCGAAATATTTTTTTTATTCAACATATTGACAATATGTGATAAATTGCAAAAATAAATTATAACGTACAAAAAAAGGGTACAAGCATGGTTTATCCGTTTAAATTTAACATGGTATTTTATTTAAAAAACTCTTAGTCATTGATTTCGAAACAGATTTCATGGCAGTTTTTCTAATGATATCATCGACTAGAATAGTTTTCAAAGTATATCACTCATGCTTATTGTAATTTTACTTAAAAAAACTTTAACTTTTAAACTTTTTTAAACTTAAACTTAAACTTTTTTTTAAATTTTTAACACTCAAAAAATATATAAAAATATAAATGTAATGGTTAGGTAAAGTAATATTTAATTAATGGTTAATACGATGCATATCAATATGTTAGTTTATGACGCTTAATTTTTTTTTACACATAAATGTTTAAAATTTGAATCTTCGTCAGTAATTACGATTATATTTTTAAATTGTAACACAGAAAATAAAAAGTATTTATACTTTTAAAACTTAAAAATTTCACCAAAGATTAAATCAAAAAGTATTGACTTATTTCAATATAAACAATCAGGGCCGTCCTGATCATTTGCGGGGTTCAGGGCAGAGAAAAATTGTGGGGCCTTAAATGTAGAAAATGTCACTATCGCGCGTCAGTTGCATATTGGAACTCAAATGTGCGTAAATAGTCTTAACAAATATAGTACCTTGCACTTACAACAATATGAATAAGTAAATAAATGTATTATATAATAAACAATTTTATATGAAAAAAAAATTGATATGTTCATTATTTTTGGCTCAACAGTTTAACTTTTTATTTATTGTACCTATGATCTATGAAAGTAAGGCCTATCCAACTGTGGTGAGAGAGCGGGGCCCGGGGTGAGGGCCCTGCTCACCATGCCCTAGGGACGGCCTTGTAAACTATCATATTTCAAGTTTCGCAAAATATTTTGTTGATAAAATATTTATGCTTAGTTTTGTTTTGTGTAGCTTGTAGTAACGTACGGTTTTTGTATTATATAGGTACGTAATATATTTTTCCGATAATACCTTTTCAAAAAAAAATTATTTTTTTAAAGCTAGTAACTGTTACGTTATTATTATTACATAGTAACCTATACCAATCTATAATTTCCAAAGATGGGCAAGTTAATGAAAATAATTAACTCGAGATAAGTTAAGTTAAGAGAACACAAGATGGATAAGTTAAAAGTTAACAAGTATAAACTTAACTCCGTTTAAAAAAAGTTAATCTACTTTTTTTTATTAGTATGTATATCACATAAAAAGTGACTGCGTTCTTTAAAAAGATCTAATATCCTAAATTATAATAAACAATTTTATTGAATTTTTTATCATAATATACAGCAGTGGCGCCGAAGTGTTTGAAAAATACTCTGACATTGTGCATAAATTTCTCATTACCATATTTATTTATTTTTATAATATTATAGTACTACGATTTATTATATTCTTTATACATAACATTCTGTATCCACGGCCAGAACTCCCAATATCCAAGTGTGGGCTCCCAATCTACAAAATCTAATATGACTTCTGATGATACAGTATATGCGATCATTTTACGTTACATGATTATTTAATTTTTATATTAATATTTACGTAAAAACGAAAAATTTCAAAAATGTTTAACTTGATAGACCATTTTTAAATAAACAGTGAAAAGCTAAATTATTTCAATTGCCAATTAAACTAGTTAAGTTGAAAAGTTTATTAGAAAATAAACTAACTAGTTAATTCTCACCTTGGATAATTTTACATTATTTTTGAAATATTTTTTTACGTAAAAACATAAATCTTATTCCTTTTTTCATTCTATTCAGGCGAATAATAAATAGTACAATATTATTTTTATTGATTTTATTAAGAAAATAAATAAATATTAATATTTATTTTGTTTACTTATACATACCTATGTGTTTTTTTGTATTTTTTTTTTTAATCCTTGCATATAACTTGATATAATTCTTAAATATATTTTATCGTGTTTCTTTTATTCCTGTTTGGTTTCCTAATCGCCATGTAAAACAGTTGATATTTATTTGATATTTTTATTTTAGCTATATAAACGAAAGTGGTTACTCGTAACGATACGGTTAGTCATAATTAAACTCAACGACTACCAATTATTTCATCATTTGTATACAATTTATAATATATTTAAAATTTTTCTACGAGTATAACATATAGTAATTTGACTTTTTGATTCAGCTAAAAAGGGAATAGCACGATTTCGGTCGAAAACGGTTATACCCGTTTAGACATGGATAACTTATTGACCCGTACCCATTGTATTATCAGTGCTTCTCAAATCGTCGGTCACAGATCTCCAAGGAGCCGAAAGTGTATTGCAATGGTGGTAGTATTAGAAGGAAGGGGGTGAATTGTTTGTGTACTACCATTTAGTTTTAATAAAATGTAGTTAAGAAAAGAATAAAATTCCCTGTTATTTGATCGATTTGAGTGGTGGAAAAGTTCTACTCCCCTGATATTTGAAGTCTTTAGTTTTTCATTAAATCAATCAAATAACTAGAAAAATGTTTGAGAAGCACTGCAATCGTTATGTAGGTACTACATTCATATAACATAAGCGACGAACGGATTTAATGAAAACCGTTTCATGAGTGCGCATGTGCGTGTTACAATTGTTCAGGTGTTGCTGTCGCCGATACAAGAGATGGACGCCGCCAATCTGTCGGGCACGTTGCACAATCAGCGACGGGGCGTCGTGAATGCGAGCCAGGGCGTGCTGAACCCCAATTTGTCCACGGCCACGGTGTACACCACGCGGCCCATGTCGGTGTCGGTGAGCCCTATCGCACTGTCCACGGTGTCCATGAGTCAGCCGCTGCTGTCGTCGTTGGGCATCGCGACGTCGACGGACGGTGCGACTACGCCGCCGCCGCGGCCGTTGATCACCGACGTGTCGGGTGGCACGGCGACGACCGCGGGCTCCGCGGCTCATCACTCGGACAAGGACGACAGTGCTTGCGGCGGCAGTTCCAGCGGCAGTGTGTCCAGCACGGATGACCGGAAGACGCCGGCTTGCAACAGGCGCAAGCGGGGTGAGGTGTACGTGTAAAAGCGCCGACCTTTGTGTGTGGAGGGGGAAGGGGGCAGTGTAAGGTTGCATAACGCGACTGTTGCACGAAGACGATGAATTTCATGTTGTATATCATTGGGTAATATTGATTACAGTCGCGTTGCTCGGGGGTTTGATGATGATGATAGTAATAATAATAATAACAACAATAATAATAAGAATAGTGTATAGAAATAACAGTAATATTAGTAGTGGGCAAGTGGTATTGATAACTATAGTATCGATGATAACCGTATGATTTTGTGGGGAAGTAGGTAAGCGCAGCAATGCGTTCGCGAACAGTGTAATTTATGCACGTACCATGTGCGGACATCGTAAACGTAGCGACACCAGGGAGAATTTTATTTTTTTCGACCCAGGTGTTTCCGCGTGCGCTGCGACAACGGCTAAATACACTGTGAAAACTCCGAAGACCTGTGAGAACATCGGTCCCGTCTGAAGAGTACGAGAAGGATAAATATGACACGTGGACGCCGAGAACTTTGCTTACCGCACAACCGTTGCACCGTCCAAGGGGGTTAGTTTTTAGGGTTCAACCCTCAAAAAATCTTATCCATACGGTCTGTAAAATTATAATTATAATCGAGTCTAAAATAACCTACCTCCCTCAAATTAAGACTTGGGCCCCCTAACCATAAACAAACACGTGATCATAATAATAACGTTCCTACGTGCACTCAGTTGACGAACGGTACGGGAGGAAAAAAAGGCTAATCGAGGAATAAAATTGTGATTTAGGTAAGCATTTTTACATTAGGAACAATCGTCAACGCGACTAAAACAATGTTATGACGTACCGTTGTAATTTTTTATTATGTTAGTATTAGTTAATTAATAAGATAAATAACTATTAATAATTATATGTATTTATATGTAATTCCAGTCAAATTATAGTATTGCTCAATTCGAACAATATTTTTCACTGTATAAATGTAATATTATAATACGTTTTCGTGTAAATCAAGTTGCTTACGAAATACTACATTCATTGCAGTATACGTGTGTTATATTATGATTTACAATTGTATTAAGAACATCTATCAATATTTATATATTATATGACCACTCAATTTTGTTTAAAGTAGTTAGATTTTAGCAATATGAACAAAATGTGATACCTAATCAAAACACCAAATATGCCGTCCAATGTATCAATGTTTGATAAACCTAACCTAAGATGAACTAAGTTAACATGCGATAAGAGACAAATTATTTTTATGTTCCTTCTAAAATAAATGATCGTGTAAAGACAAATTATACAACTAGAAGGATATGTCATATTATTGATTGCAATTAATTTTATATATATAAATAAATAATACATATTATAATATATTTTATGCACTCATCTAAAAATTTACTTAAAATATTAGGCAGAATTTTTTTTCAAGTCGTACATTAAGTGTATGTATATTTTGGTATCTGTGATAGATAGAGTGAAAACAATATTTATGTTGTAATTATTATTATTATTATTATTTTTCACGCATTGGAGTAGATTTTAAATTTGACTTTTATACTGTATTTTTGTACTCAGCAATACTAATTTAAAAATGAAAAATAATTACATATAATTATATATTGTGTTATATTGATAAGACGTTTAAATACAACTAATTTTATTTTATAATTAAATGAATATAATATATACATATAAACATGTATATTTTTTAAGGTTAATGTATAATTTACAAACAATAAAAATTGTTCAATTAAAAATGTTTTTAACTATATGTTTAATATTGTAAACGCCTAAATAATTTTAACAACGTAATAATATTATTTTGTACATGGACATATACATAGACATATATGGTACTATAAATACAGTAAACTAGCAGTGTTTAGTAATATATTACAGAAAAAGAGAATGATCTTCATTGTTGAGTGGTATTAAGAATAAAATTCATCAGCTAATAAAGAAAAAGGCCAATGATATTGGAAATTAGTTGAGTGAGGGATGAGCAAATGGTTAGCGGTAAGAGAAACTGAATGAAGAAGACTACTATTATATCCTGACTAAAATACTTAAAATACTCGTATCTGACTGACGAGAGAGTGGAATGAAACATTTAGCTTACAGACATATACTTAGCAAATTGAAAATATTTTTTCTGAAACCATCAGTTGAAGTATGAGGGTTCCAGAGCATAGATCTGTCATACTCCAAGTATAAACAAAAAAATAAAACTCTAGTTAAAGGTCTTCAATAAAGTTTGATTTCTTAAAGCCGAATATTTTATTTCAAGCCCATTTTGATATGATCGAAGATGAATAATCGCTGAATCAATATTTAGTATTTAAATTTTAAAAAGTATATACTTACCCAAAACATCAAAATAACAATAACAATCATTACACATATAATATATAATAATTAAGTAAAAATGTTTTAATTTCAAAAAGGAACAAAGTCAAAACAAAAACAAACAACGTGTATTAAAAATTAAAATCAAAAAAAATTTATTAAAGGTGCAAGTTTTCTTTTATTTAACCACGAGTGATTTTACTATAATTAATATACTTTCAATGTGAATTTAAAATGAAGTAAATCTATCAGATAGTTCTTAGAGTCAAGAATTAGTTATAGCGCGAATACAATATTATGTTTAAAGTGAATATTATTACATCATTAGTTAAATACTTATACGGGTTAAGAATTAAAAATATATAAATATTTTTTTTTTCATTGGAACACTAATTATACCTCGAACTACTCACTCAATAACATGTCCTAATTCAAATATTATTGAATTAATATAAAAATATTGAAAAAAAATATATAGTAGAATTAAAAACTACTACGTACATAAATGAGTTCAATGTAATGTTTGTTCAAGACGTGATATTTATTTTTAATACGTAACACATATTTGACACGATTGATAAAACAAACACAATTAAATATTTAAGTCATGCCGTAGAAGCAATGAGAGATTTGCTATGCCATATGTATTATAACGTAAATTTATTTTGCTCCTGGAAAAAAAATACAAGAATTAAAGTAACATAACATTTGGTGTAACTACTGTAACTAAACGTCCATCGTTCGTTAGTCGTTTTGTCGGCTTAAAAGAAAAAATTATTTTGAAATACACATCAATTTATTTTATATTAATATTTTTATATTATAATTAATTCATAGTGTGAATTGAAGTCAAATAATTTATATCATTTAACGAATGATATTTTTTAAAAACATGCATACATGGTGCGGTACAGTCGATATTGTATATTGATTCAGAACTTTTAGATTGGTGACCATCATGCGTTTTTTAACGTCAAACCACGAGTTTCAACACGACAAACGATGTAACCCTTACCCAAAATATCTAGTAGCATTTTACACTCACACCTAATGGTTTAAGCAGCTGAAGATTGATAAACATCTAATGAGTTATTTAGAAGTTAATGAAGAAAAATTGTTACATTGCATAATATGATAATAAGCTCTCCGCATAGCTTCAACTCTCATAAAATATTATACAGTAACCACACGATAGTTCAAAAGTTCGAAAAAGTTGGACTGAAAATTATATTTATAGAGATTTCGGTTAACCAAGTGTTCGAAAAATCAAAAAAATAATTCGAATTAAAGAGAGATGGAAAGTGATTTTAAATCAGGCACGTAGCTAGGATTAAATAATTAGGGTGGCACAGTTATGGCAAATATTTTTCTTGAGTGGCCAACAGTTTTACTTCCCCCCACGGCCCCACATTAGACACTTATAGAATTATGTTTATGTATAGGTATATTGTTTATAATATAATAAAATTGTAATTTCTGAATATAATAATTAATGTAATTAGGTACAAAAAGAACGAAATTTGATAAACAAATAAATTAGATAATTTTTATCTTAATATTATATAAACCTTATATATAATGATTATAATGTATATGAATAATAAATATATACATAAAATATATGTTAAAATAAATACAATTTAAAAAAATAGTCTATACTTAAATAATTTTTCGATTATTATGATTTATAGCAAATTTATCTACAACTTCTTCCAAGTCCAGAGATTTTGCTATCTTCTTTTCGATGCTCATCATAGATAAATTTGATAGGCGTTCATCCGTCATTTTATTTTGCATGTATGTTTTAAGTCTCCTTAGGCAAGAAAAAGTCCTTTCGCACCCTGCACTTGATACCGGAATTGTAATAGAGATTATAACCATCTTGTACGTTTCATTAAAAACAAATTTATATTTTTCCAATAAATCAACAAAATTCATCAAATTTGTGATTTTTATTTGATTTTCTTTTTGGTAAATTTTTATTGTGTTTGGTATTATTTTAAGTTCTGATTTTAGTAATTTTGTATCCAATTTATAATGTTGGGCTAAAGGTTTTAGGTCATCATAGCTCAGAAAATTGGCATTTTTTGGATGTAGATAATCAATAGCATACAAAATACTGGAATTAATGGAAAATCGATTTTCTAACTCGTTAATAATTTTGTCTAAAATTGAAAAAAATAATTTTGTACGAAAATCATTTTTTGATTGAGCTTGTTCATTTTCTAATGATATGTTTTCATCAATAAAAAATGATTTAAACTTTTGAGGAACACGCTTTTTTCTTATTTTTTGGATTTGTTCACTGGGTAATGGTATATTATTTTCTCTACAAATATATAAAGCTTCTTCGTACATTTTTTCAAAACATATATAATTAATTGATCCATCACATTCGTTAAGACAATCATTTGAATCATTTCTCATATTTGTAAGCGTCATAATTAACGATTTTATTAATACCATACTTTCTGCCATTTCGGCAATAACGCCTTGTAAAAAATCACTAACTTTTTTGAACATAGTTAGTATGTTAGAAAATACTACCAAATTTAATACAAATTATAAAATCTATTTGATGTAAAAGACCTTTAGCGGTAATTGAACGATCTCCTTTATCGCTAATTAATTTATGGAGTAAAATTAATAATGGACTTAAAACTTTTTTAAGACTCAAAGTTGCAAAAACTTGTGCTGTCCATCTGGTTAGACAGATTTTTTTCAATTCTACAACTGAATGTAAGTTAATTTTTTTTTGAATGTCAATAAAAAGCGAATGAACTGCCGAACCTGATACAAAAACATATCTCTTCAACCAAATCAAAAAATAATTTTACATCACTAATATTTTTACATATGTCGGCAATAACTAAATTTAGTTTATGGTTATAACCAAGGCTCGGGTCTTATAGTACTTAAAATCATAAATATAAACACTTAAAAAAGCGCTTAAAAACATCATTATAAGCACTAAAATAAGCATTTAAAAAATTTGAAATTAAGCAAAAATATTTATTAAAAAAAAAAAAAACTATAAAATTCTAACTAAAAAATCAAACATAATCAAAGTAAATCTACACTTTCAAGACTTTAAGGATTTTATGGGTTTTCTAAGGTATTTTTCTGAAAAATAAAATGTAAACTGTTATTTTTGTTCTTGATGTTCCATTTTCAACGTTGGAATATCTTTGTTAACCATACACCGATGCCTTGGACGGCGACGAACTACGTGACAACGTAGATAAGATGAGATTTATTTTTAAATTTTAATTCTATCAAAAACGACTTTACAGGAGAAAACTATAAAAATGTAAAAAAAACTGGTCAAATAAGCAAAAATAATCAGAAAAGCTGGAAATAAGCTTTTTTTTGAAAAATCGCTGAAAAAAAAACAAAAAAAAAGCACTTTCAAATTTCATAATTGTACGTGTTACAACTTGACATACACTTCTATAACACTCTGCTACATTTTAAGTTAATCCATAAAATTAAGCAAATGCTTTAACTCCCGAGCCCTGGTTATAACAATGCACATATATAGCTTGCGGAACTTCGTCACGAAATAATTTTTGAATACCATTTAATCTACCGCTCATTACTGCTGCTCCGTCGTAAGTTTGTGCCACACATTTTTGTAGATCTACTGAACATTTTTGTAGTATTTCTTTTATATAATTTAATAAGGAAGACGCATTTAATTGTTTAACAGGTTTAAAGCCCATGAACCTTTCATGTATTTAACCTTGAATATAATAACGTACTACTACTGATAACTGTTCTGTCTTGCTTATATCTTTCGTTTCGTCAACTATAAGTGCAAAATAATTACAACTTTGTAGTTCAAAGCTAATTTTTTCCAAAATTATTTGATTGAAAATACTGATCATTTCATTTTGGATTTGAGGACTGGTATATTTGGCATTTTGGGGAACATCTTGGCCTACAACTTCACACTGTTCATCTATTAAATGAAGAAGTTCCAAAAAATTACTACGGTTTAAGCTTTTTACGCTTTCGTCAACACCACGTTGTGCTATACACTGTGTTCCGGTATATAATAAAACGCTAGCAATGCGTTTAATGTATTTTCTATTTTCTTTTATAAGTTTCAAATGACCCTCATTAATTTGAACAGAAACAGATGGAATACTTTTGGTTTTCATGTTTTTATAAGACATCCACATTACATAACAATTTTTATGGTCTTGACTTTCTTCATGTTTTTTTAAACCACTATCACTGAAAGTCGCCTTTTTCCAATTTTTAAATCCTAAACTGATAAATGTTGTTTGATTGTCAAAGTGCTTTGAAAACATTCTACATGGAAAACAATAGACAGCGTCTTATAAAATACTATATTCGAGCCAAGCAAATGATTTGAACCATTGTTTTGAAAAATGACGCCAACGATCACCATACTTAGTTTTCGGATAAAATGTTAAATTTGGTTGTGTAGGTTCATTGTTCAAATTTTGAGAAATATCTGAAGGTCCCGGACATTTTTTTAAAACACTAGCAACACTAATTTTGGTATTCGGCTCCGGTTCTTTAATTAAATCGCCGATATTTGATTCTGAATCGCTATTGTTATAACTATCCGTACTACTAGTAGTGTCGTAATTATTACCTGGATTGTTGGTTATATCATCTTGTCCTTGAATAATAATGTCTGAAGAATCCACACTTTTGTTCTCGTTGTTAAGTTTCTTAGTAGAAAAATAATTTTGCATTGTTATTTGTCTTTTCATGGCAAAAAATTTAAAATTACGTACAATTTAAAATAAATAACTATGAGTAGATATAAGTGCATTATATTAGTTATAAATACTATTATTAGTTATTAAATTAATACACTGTACATGGATCACAATTCGCGACAATCACAACTACAAGTCTTCAAACGTCAACTGAATAATAGCTGTATTGCTAGGTAATGAAGAAAATAGTACAGAATTATAAAGACACAATATTATTGTTACTTTTCAACATTACATGTTTAATTTAAAAGTGAATAATAATATTATGCGGGTCACATACTCATTCGCTGATAGCTGTTGTAATAAAATACTATATATCACATATACTATATTATTATTTGTTATAGTTAATTAGACCTCGGCGATTAAATTTATATTTATAGATTATAAGGTACCCACTAACAAGTCATGCCGCGATTGGAAATGCCGATTTACTGGAATAGGAATACATGCGAGTTCTTGCGACTTTATAATAATAATTAATATAGATGCATTATTGTCGTCGTTAATACGACGAATACGACGGGTATGAATGAACGACTTCTATTCTGAATTCTGATATCCTGGTAATCTGACCACTATGGTCACACTATGTTCGGAAAGACAATTATGTAAAAATAACAAATATGATAATAGAAATTTTAAAATATATTTAATTTTTCAACCCAATTATTTGAGCCTTGGGTATTTGAATAATATTTCAATGTAATGGGGTGGCCATAAGGGTGGCCTGTAAATATTTTGGGTGGCCGGGCCACCTCAGGCCACCCCTTAGCTACGTGCCTGTTTTAAATTTATTTTTACATTTATTCATTATACATATTATTATATTGCATATTGAAGAAATCTTTACGGGATTCAAATTTAGATTGAATGTGTTAGATTGAATGTGCAATGTGTCAACAAATGTTTACCCATTGCAAAGGTATATTTAGTAAATTGACGGGATTAAAATCAAGATTAGGTAGGTTAGATAGTATCACCTGAAGTACTGCATTTCCTGGAATAAAAAAAAAAAAAAGAAAATAGTTTAAATAGTAATAAACTACGATTGTATTTTATCGCCGTATAGGTTATTTATGTGAGTGTATATCGATTCCGCCGAAAAGGTCTTTTTACCTGTAAGAAATCTATCGATTGCCCTGAATATTTTTATTAATCGATTCCGCCGAAAACATACATGTAACATCACTATATAATATATAGTATATAGTGTGGTTCACTCAAATGGTAACACGTAATATTTCAGTTCAGTGACCTCGGATTGAATTGGGTTTTTTTTGAGGAGCTAGGGAATACTAAAATACACATTTTGTGATCATTTTCGAATTTTTAATTCTTTTATTGTGCGCATGCGCAACAAAACTTACATTTTTTAAATGGCAACATCTATTTTCAACACCAGATTTCGATAGAACTCTTTTTATTTAATCAACTTTGATAAATAACCTTTTTTCTATCTCAAAAATTGACTGAATTACAACAATTATGGATAACACTATATAGTTTACTTCTACCTATCTTCATTTATCTTATTAAATGTGTATCTATTACCTACCTAATTTTGATTATTAAGTTATTTCACTGAAATTTATCAATATTATTACATTACATTATATATACTATGTATAATATATATATATATATATATATCATATCTAGTACGGCGGTGTAGTGGCACGTAGTAAGAAAAAAAACATAGGTATACATTGTATAGAATAAATAAATAATAATAATAATATATATAATAATCAGCAACAGTTGTAGTTGAATTGAAATATGAATTTTAAGCTGATCATGTTTTTATAATATATCTAAATGCGGTAGCGTATGTATTTGTGCTTTTTCTGGCAATAAGAAATAGGATAATGAAACATAATGTCCATTTTTAAAAATATAAACCGTAAACAGTTGATAGAAATATTTTGGGCAACTATAAAATGTACCATCTACAAATATTTTGTCTCTAGAGCAGAGCAATTTTAAATTAGAATTTGTAGAGTAGAATAAAATATTATTTATTGTGTCAGTATTTAGTAGAAAATCTGCTGGAAACAATATTATGTATTTACAAAATCCGAAAATGTTTTAATATTATAATATATGGTATATTCTAATATACATATATAAATCTTTGGCGGAATCAATATGTACAGATATTCGATGGAATCGATAGCCGGCAGAATCGATATCAAAATGGCGAAATCAATAAACTCCCATTTATGTATACTATATGTAATTAATTTTTATAAAATAGCGTTTAAATAAATTCGGATTATAGAAATTCAGTCAAAAAAAATTCGAATTGTAGAATATCTTTCACTGGTCAGAAATTTTAAATTAACGAAGGGACCAAAATACAAGTTTTTTTTTTTATCAATTGCAATAATAATACGTTCTTACCTATTTGCATTACTGTTGATACTCCTTGCGATTTTTTTTGCTTCAATAAATACGCTAAGTATGTGTATATGAACTCGTATTGATCCTAAAAATGATATTTGCATCGATTAATATTTTGAATAATGACGATAATTCCTATGACATGGGCAATTTGAATCGAAAAATATTAATGCAATATATTATTTTGAAAATGTTTATATGATTTATCTATTTCTTATGAAAAAAAAATCTTTTTAATTTCTGTAAACAAGTTAAAAATATAATATTTCCTTAATGTTAAAATAGTTATTTTTGTAATAATTGATAAAAGAAATATTTAAATTTTAAAAAGTAAAATTTATAATAAACAATTTATTAGGACGATAAGGAAAAAAATTGTAATTTCTAAAAGTTCCACACACTTAAATTGTTTGTCTATCGAATAAGAAATTTCACAAACAATTTCAAGGAAAAATTTAAATTTTTACTGATTGCGCAATTTATTTGAAAATGTAAAACATTTTATAAAGCAAATTAATATAAAAAAAAAAAAGTATTATAATTAATAATAATATAAAAAGTTATGAATCATCATAATTATATTAAAAATAAAAAATAATCATTTCATAAAAAGTAGATTATATATTAATGATATATTTGAATTCAGATACTTTTGTCGATGTTGTTCAACTACTTTCAAAATATATAGCTTTTTTCTTTTTGATTAGTGAGTAATCCTATGTTCAGCTACATCATTAACAATTTTAGATTTTGAATTTTTTTATAACCGTTAACAAAATCTTTGTTATTCTCCTAAGAACATGGATGTAGATTTAAAAAATCTTGTGATATTCCAAGACTGTAAATAATTTGAGTTTATTTTAAGACATAAAATCGTTCAATTGTATAATTTTAACTGTAATTTTTTCAATTGTAATACGCATTATAGGAAAGTCAGCTCCTTTTTCACTAATGATTTAAAAATATTAATTTTTATCTCAGAAGACATTTTGTTGTCAAAAAAAGCTAATCCAATTGGAATAAATACCTTGAGAAGATTTTGGTAGCGGCATCGCCTGTAACTTTATTGGATTTTTAATAATGAATAAGTTCCTTTTAATGTTTAAGATCATTTTAAGGAGATAGTTCTCCAATAGAAGAAGTATACCAGTACTTAATAAAAACTTGTGTAATAAAAACGTTGAATGCATGAAGTGCAGATAATTCTCGAGCAATTAGTTTGAAAAAAAGAGAAAATGATAAAACTTCATTGTAATCATCTTTAGGCTGAAATATAGCTAATCGATAAACTTGACAAGAACATATTTTTTGTGGTTTTAATTTATTAGCGACTATATCATTTATTATTCCGGTTTCGTTTTTTTTTTAATATCAAATTTATTCCACTTTTATGAAAATCTTTGAAGTACCTGGAAATCGGGATCACTTGAAGCTCCCATTAATGCATTAAATACTTTGAAATATAAGTTTTAAAACGTGGTGTTGACATGCAAAGCTGAGGAGGTACCTTTTAATTTTTATTTCAAAGAATTCCACATGCACTGGTCTTTACTCCATTATTACTTGCTGTTGTATTAAAATACATACAATTAATGTGTTCAATTAAATGATATTCTTCTAGTAACTCGAATATAATGGTATACTCATAACAAAATAATAAACAATACGACAGCAATGCTAGCAATGACAGCAATGCTGTGAACTGTTAAACTAATAATGATATGTAATCGGCGGATATATGTCGATAATATGAGCTCAAGTGTGGTAACTGTGTTATCAAGAATTTCGTAAATATAAATATGCTGCATGAACTCTTAATATCAACTGAATGAGATTTAATTTTCATAAAATATATTTTATACCATAAGGAAAATTTTTGGTGGGTGAGACGAAAAAAAAATATTTAACTTTAGTTTTTGACATATTTTTGATTATCGCCCTAAAATGTATACCACTATTTAATTATTATTAAATAAATAATATTCCATAGTAATGATAAATTATAACGGATATCCATTAACAAACGCTCATAGAAAAGTTAAACTTATGTTCAGGAAATATTAATTAATACTAGTGATGAGCATATCCAGATTTCATGGGTTATCTGAATTATTCAATTAAATTTTGCCGTTTAATCATCTATTACTGTAAGTCATATAGGTATAAAATAAACTCAACAGTTTAATAACTTTTTTTAATAACTAATAATAAATTATAAAACTGTTGAAGTCATGATAAGTATACTGTACTTAATATAAAATAAAAATTTGTTGTTAAATTTTAATTACAATAAAATATTTTACTAGAAATTAAAAATAATTATAGTTATTAGTTACATGAAAAGCAAATTCATAAATCTGGATAATCTATATACTTCAGCAAATCCAGAAAATTAGATTTATATTAAAATCCAGGTATTCGGAAAATTAATATCTTCAGATTTCAAGCTTATCTCTAATTGATATATTTTATAAACGAGTAGTTAATTCTAATATAGGAGACTTTACCTGTGTTTGGACCATATTTTTTCGTTGTCCACGCAATTTTTGAACCGTTCTATACACACTTAATGGTTTGATATTTTTCTGGATTAATTGCATAAATATGTCACAGGTGATATATGTGCCGGTTCTGCCTACTCCAGCACTTAAAAAAAGAATCAATGTTTTTTCATCAGATTTTTATTTAATGGTTATTTCAAATTAATAATTCCATTGATTAAACTGGTATAATTGCAGAAAATGGAGCTTACCTGCAGTGTACAACGATTAAACCCTCTGGACTTTTGCTTTGTACTACCTCACAAAATTTCATCAATGTTGAAGGATCTTTGGGTATTCCAAAATCTGGCCAGCCATGATATTGAAAATGCCTTATTGATTTTTTTAAATTGCCCTTAAACAAGGTACTTGCATATTAATTTATTGGTATAAGAACTTTTTGTTCAAATATATTTAATGAATAGAATATAAATTATAATATTTGGTTTTTTATATTCATCGTTCAAAAACGTGTTTATACTTGAAAACTATTTCGAGTTATCACTCACTAGTTATTATCCTAATCAAAATATATGAAAGTCATACATGCGATTGGGTACCTATTATATAGAAATTCCAAAGTAGAGATCTTTATATCCTCTCAAACCTTTTCCTACCCAAATTTCAAAAGCAGTATTGGATTATGTACTTCAAATATATATTCTTCCTTGTAATAAATTGCGATAAAAGATATCAGTTTAAGATTCATTTTAAAATTTTAAAATAGGAGAACCAGAGATATATTTACAATTTTTGTACATTAGGGCACTATTTCTTAAACCAAGAAAATAGTTAAAGGACTGTAGGAAGAAGTTATTATATTAAAATAGGTATTAATAAACAATAAGATTTTTAACGAAAAAATTTATATTTAGATAAAATTGTTGTTGAATGTTTCATTTCTTGGATAATGAAATGCGATATGATTAAATAAACAAAATTTATTTTGACCTAACCCGTTTATTCTGTATTTATTTAAGGTTATTAAATGCATATTACTCGTAATCTTCACTTACTTTATGGACCGTCAAATTTTTCATTGTGAATGAATTCATTTTATAATCATTCATGATGATTTCTGCAACTTTTATATCCCCAAATTGAATGGAGATTTCTTCATCATTTGGAAAATACTTTTCACATTTTGCCTATAAAATAAAATTGAATTTTTATTAGTATTTTGTAAAATAAGAAATCGTGAATAACTATTTTAGTATATAATAAAATATTTAAAATAGAATAAAGCTAATTATATTTCTTAAACCAATTATGCTACATTCCTAACTTTCATGCCAAGCACCATTTCTGGCTTAACAATCAACACCCGAAGTTGTTCTCTTCAGCATCTCATCTCAATCAAATTTACCAAAGTACTTGCAGCGTGCGTCCTAACCTATTGGCCTTCACACCAAGGCCGCAACCCTGATTTTCTCGATTTCTTCATCTCCAACCTACCTAATTATCTTCAAACAAAACTAACAAACCAAAATGATCCAGCACCCAATCACACTCTAGTTATATTACATATAAATACTTCCTTCTCTTTGCATAATAATAATGACCGTTCTCGAGTAATTTGTCCAAGGTTTCGAAACATCATATCTCGCAACTCGCATATCAACTTCAAGCTAAAATCTTCCGCAAACATCGACACCGCTATAAGAAATTTTACAGAAACTATTCACAATTCAAAAATCAATGCTTCTTTCCTAGCTCACAAATTTAAATCTGACTATCTTATTACATCTAAAATCAGAAAACTTTTTACACAAAAAAGATGAGCCCATTAGCCCATTAGCTGTAAAGAATACTTTAATTGTATCGTATTTCAAATACTACTCAAATACTTTAAAAAAGTCTTTGGAATACTTTTCAAATACTTTTGTAAAAATTAAAGTAATTAGGCTAAGGTAAACTAACATTTTGCTGAGAAATAGTCGAAAGAGATGCATTATGTGGTTCTGAATTACATTCATCACCAGTATTATGGCTAGAATTATTCATATTAAAACTTGAAGTAATTGTAGTTTCCAGTAGGTAATAAACACATTAATAAATAAAAACGGCTTGCAGCTATATAGTGATTTGTGGGAAAATCTATATTATTCTTGTAATCCCTTATAAACACAGATATCGTATTTGATATTAACAGTTACTTAACTAAAAATACAAAAGGAAATTTTGTTATTGAATATCTATTTTTAAAAATCTAGTTTTCACAAACCTTTGGGCTTTAATTATAGTTAGTAATATTTTTCGAACCAAATATTTTGAATAAAAATAAAATGTTCGAAAAAAAAACTAAGTATTCAATACAAATAAGTATTCAATAGAAAAAAAAGTATTTAAAATACCATTGAAAATACTTCGTTCTGAAAGTATTTAAAAAATTATTCAATATTTAAAAAAATATTTGAATACTTTTATTCAAATACTTTATAGCACTGACTATATCCTCACTACCCAGATAACAGGCGAAAATGCAATTCACTATCTAAAAATCTATTCTTAAGACAAATTTAGGAGGATTTTAATTTTTGTCGTGTTTTTATAAAAAATTAGAGTAAGATTAATTCTTGAATACTTGTCTTAATAGTGTCTTATAATTGAAAATATAGAATTTTTTATCATCTTAAAGTGTTTATATGTGCATAAAAAAATCAAAACAAAATAAAATTAATTAAAAAAATCCAAGATGACAATGATATGATTTTTTTAAAAATGTTCCATAAAATTAACAGTAGTATCACATATTAAATTAAACTAAATTTAATTAAATTTATTTTGTGGTAGTATTAACCACAACTTGAACTACAAATTGGGTATTTATATTATTATTATATGCAAATTATAATAATAATTTTATTTTGTTTATTAATGAAATTTAAGTTCAATGTTTATAATATAATTTTATTTTCTTATAACAACTTGTTAATCCAATCCGATTATGAAATTATTATCTATTTATACGAATATGAAAATATTGACTATTTTTCGGTGTACTCACTGATTGTATTTACTAATTTTTTTCCAACGTAATTTTAGAGTATTAAACAATTATCACGTGGTTTTTATTACAATTAGGAAATAATTTTTTTGGTTACATAATATATAACAAATAAGTCACAATTATATTCAAAAAGTTATTTAATAAAATCAAAGTTAAATGTAATTGCTCAAAGCACGAAGCTACTTGTTGAATTTAAAAAAAATTAGTCATTAAATGCTTTTTTAACTTAACCAATTTCTTCAACATGCCTTAATTATATTTTTTACGTTACCTTATTTGTTTCTGAAGTCTCACATAACATAACAATTGAAACAACATCCTGCTCCAATACCATCTGCCACATATCAGTGCAAGTATTTTTCATGGGAGCTTGGCAAGCTATGTACTCTCGAATATTCTTGTCATACTAGAATTTGGCTATAGTTTAATTTCAGTTTTCCTTATTCTATTCTTAATTTTGTCATACATAAATTTTATTTTGCTTTAATTAGTTAATTAACATTTATTTTTTATCACATGTACATTTTGGTTTAAAAATGTATTTTAATTTTTGATAAAATAATTGATCAAGACATTTTTATTTACAAATCAATAACTATAGAGTATACTAAAAGTAATTTATAAAGTATAAACTTTAAAACGTTTATATTGATTCGAACTTACTTTAATAAATGAAGCATTTATGTAGTTGTTGCTTCTTTGTTTTAATATAACTCGGTTATAGTCGTCTATAATAAAATAAACATTGTAGTAGGTATAAGAAGTATTATAATATATATTTTTGGCCTTACATGGTATTATATCAGCATATCGGTTTTTCGATTTATTTTCTAATAACATTGCTATATCACAGTTAGTTTTTGTTGAAATATTTGTTTTCCAATTGGAATTCAAAGCATTATATTCAGTCGCTATTTCTCGGGACGATTTAGTTTGTAGCTGTTTGAAATTCAAATCGCTTGATTTCCATGATGTTCGAAATAATTTTAACTCTTCCCTATTTTATAAAATTAAATAAAAAGCATATATTTTGTTAGAGTGTACTCGACGGTTTTATAATTTTGCTTTACGTACCATGACATTCTTTTATTTAATGCACCTTGAATTATTCCAGCTATAGTCAAAATCAGTATCATGAATAATATACTACAGACCACCAAATACCAATTTCTAGTAAAGTTGGGCTCTACAGCTATAAAACCATAATAAGTATTAATAAAATAGGCTTAAGTAGTTTCTTTTTCGGTTGGTAGTGCAGGTTTATTACTATAGTAACGCTAACAAACACTAATTCGTTTTATTTTCAACCGTAGTTTACTTTTTACATTATATATCAGAGGTCTCCAAACTACGGTCTGCAAACAAGTTTTAACCGGCCCGTGGCCCGCATATGAAGCATAGGTAAATATAGATATATAAATATCAGTAAATATAAGACATCTAAGTAAAAGCATTTAGGCAAAAACTTATTTTATTTGAAACACAAATTTCAAAAAATTGTTTTAATAATTTTTTTTTTGCAATAAACATAATATAGAATGTAAATTACAATTTCCAATCAACTTCGCTAAAAAAATAATTTCTGAACTTAAAATTCAATTTAAACAACGTTTTTATGACCTTGACGTAAAATCTGAAGACAAATATTTTTCAAAATCCATTTGGTTATATTTTATATTAATATACAGACAATGAAACCTCCCTTAACGGACACCTCTAAATAGCGGACACCTCCGAATAGCGGACATTTTTATGGGAACAGGAACATTTTCACTACTTTCATTTAGGAAAACCTCTAAATACCGGAAACTCTAAATAACGGACACTTATGGAAATTTAATTTTGATTTTGACAATTTTTATCGTAAATATAGAATAATCGTTGAATGTCAATTTCATCTATTCTTACTATTATGTATTATAAATTATTGTACAATTATAGTTTATCTTATCTGTCCATTGATTCATCGCGTCGATGAAACATTTTTCTAGAATATCTTCTGTAAAGTTGTATGTATGTATGTATGTATGTATGGCTATAAAAATTGCCATTACATTACTTGCAACTACATGTTCAGTAGAAAGATCTTTCAGATAATATTTTCTATATTATATTTCTAATTTTAATTCGATATATTATTCTTATAAAATAAATTGTCATTATATTTTTAATACATTACGTCGTTTAAAGACATGGCTGAGAAACAGAATGGGAAATGAAAGGTTAAGTAGTTTAGGTCTGATTAATATTCATCGACAAAGATACGAAATTAAAGAATTTTTTAACAGCAATTAGAAGGTACTATTGAAAAGTTTAGATTGAGTTCTAGGCGATTGGCATTACTTTTCAATGTATTAATGTAAACAATAATTTACATTTTTATTAGAAATAATAAATAAAATAAGTTATGTTTTAAATATATTTTGTTATACCCATCATTGATGATAAATAATATATGTAATTTAATTAGTGTTAAGGGGTGTGAGGGGCAAAGCCCCCCCCCACAGCTTATATTAACATTAAAAATATTTTGCATCTAGTGAGCTACATCTCTGCGGGCGTACTTGTCCCTCCTCTCTCTAAATAACAGACAAAATTATGGAGTTCAAGAGTGTCCGGTATTGAGAGGTTTCACAGCATAATATTTTATAAAAAATTTTAAAGTAAACATATTTATTTACTTACCTATATTTTCATAAAATTAAAAATTATGTGTTGATAAATTTTTGGCCTATTACGAGCATTTGATTTTTTTTCGTGGCCCTTGAATAAAAAAGTTTGGAGACCCCTGTTATATATTATTATGATAATGAAATTTACACATTAAAGCTTTACACTTTTAACTGTACTACGCTGTAATACTACTCACCGGTATAAAGTGACACAGGCTACGCATCTTGAAATTCTTTGGCAGTAAAAACCCAGAGTTTTAAATTGTATATAGTAGCTAACTTCAAAGACCCATTGCGATATTGACATTTATTTGCTGTGAAATAATTTTTGTCCTCGTCGATAGTGAAAGTGACCTCTTTTTCTCCGTCTAAATATAAATATAAAGTAATATTAAACGGATGAAATATGTAGGTATTGGCTATAGAAATATAAACATCATAAATGTAAATTAGTAAAACTTTCCAAAATATAGGGATCTTTGAAACAATCAAAATGGTTAATTTGTAAACAGGTAGCTTACATTTTTGAAAACTAACTTTTGAAAGGAATCCATTTGTGGGGTGATATCTGATAATAATTTATGAGGCGAGATGATATCATATCTGTCAAGTTAAATATTTCGGAAGGCCATTTATCGTTAACGTCTTTAATTCCGCGTTCCGGCTCGTCAGGAATTCGGCTGACGTCTTCATAAAGTATTATTGAACAATATAGGATCATTCCATTGTAATTTGTGTACAATTCGTTGGATAAAGTCAAGCCAACGATCTTAAGATTATTTTCAATCAAGATTACTCATAAATGCTTCAATGTAGACTCTTTGGATGACAAATCTGGGACTATAAAAATAACTCAGTATTGGAAATGTAATTTAAATCGGATTTTACTATTCATAAGCTAAAGGACATAAAATTTAAAATATAAATATAAATAATAAATAGGAATTTTGAGAAATTCTTAATCGTAGTCATAGGCGTACGCACAATGCCAGATTAAACATTTGTGAGCTCCTAGGCAATTAAAATTTTGAGCCCTGAACAATTATTTTTTTACATACATATTTAACATTACTATCCAATAATTAAAATAAATAGCTTTAATAATAACCAACTATTATTAATAAATAAAATCATGTTTAATAAATTTATTTTTTATTTGCAAGAAAAATGAATGAATTATTATATTAATTCTATTTTTTTTTTAGATTCTGAACGAAGTGATGGAATCTATTAGTTTTACAATGATGTGTATTTTATTTTTTATTTTTATTTTTTTATTTTTTTTTTGTGTCTGTCATCACGTTAAGAATGCGGTCGAAAAATTAACTATTTTAATACAATCCTCAGCATGGAATGCCTTCACTCCCTTCCCTCCTAAACCACAATCAATTAACTTACCTTCTTATATGCGAGACTTAATAGTCCAAAAAAGAAGAGCTAGAGCCGTCTGGCAAAATAATCGACTACCCTTTTATAAACAAATATACTACAATTTCAATGCCAAACTCAAATGCACTTTATCAAAAATAAAATCTGATTCTTTTTCCTCATGGACAACATTTCTCGTAACAAAAAATGGATCATTATGGAGGGCTACTCGCAACTGCCTCAAATAAAAAGTAATGTCGTATCCTCTAAAAAATAACGGTAACATCTGGTGTAACACAGAGATAGGAAAAGCTAAAATATTTCTTACTCACTTGACTTCCGTCTTCCAACCACATCAAGATATTAACAATCCTAAATTTACAGAAGAAATTCAAAACTCTTTAACAAATCCACTTCTTGTATACTTATCTTCCAAAGCTTTCTCTCCAAATGAAATTTTAAATTGTAAACTATCATTTTTCCTTCGAAGATCCCCAGGTTTTGATCTAATCACCGCCGAAATAGCACGTCAACTCCCCAAAAAAGCAATTATACTTCTTACATTCATAATAAATTCAATACTCAGATTCCCTTACTTCCCCTTACAATGGAAAGTATCTATTATCCTCTTATTCTCTAAATCAGACAAACCAACCGAATATCCTTCTTCATACCGTCCTATCAGTCTTTTACCGTTTTTTTCAAAACTCTGTGAAAAACTTAAACGCATTATGCCTATTATTAATGAAAAGCAGATACTACTTGATACCCAATTTGGTTTTCGTAACTCCCATCCAATCATCCACCAAATAACCGTTTAATTGACACCATTTATCTAACACTAGAAAAAAAAATGTATTGCTCCACGTATTCTTAGATGTCGCACAAGCGTTCGACTGCGAATGGCATCCTGGCCTCCTGTTTAAATTAAAAAATATATTACCTCCTCCTTACTTTCTATTCCTTAAATCATACCTTGAAAACCGCCACTTTGCCACGCGAGTGGGTACCGAAATTTCAGAATTATCTCCAATTCTTGCCGGAGTCCCTCAATGAGCAATACTATCTCCAGTTCTGTTCAACATTTTTTCTGCCGACCAATTAACTACTCCAAACATTTATGTAGCAAAATACGCCGATGATAAAGCTATTTTCACCACCCATTATGACCCTATTCGTGCCTCAAATTATCTTCAAATCACCTAAACCTACTATCTACATGGTATACTAAATAGAGAGTCAAAATTAATACTTCCAAATCATTACATGTAACATTCATTCTTCGTAAAAGCATTTCTCCTCCTATAACATTAAACAACTCCATCATTCCCATTGCCTCAAACGCTCACTACTTAGGCATGCATCTATACAAAAGAACTTACCTGGGCTCACCATATTAGAAAAAAAAGATTATTACTCAGTTTACGTTCATTGTCCAATAAAAGGAAAGCATTCATTAAAAAAAAATGCTTTTATGTTCATGTTTATTAAAAAAAATAAAAAATAAATAAACAAATAAATTGTTTATTATATGTTCAGTGTGGTCAGAGAATCCCTAGATATCAAATATTATTTTTACGCGCTTTATCTTACATAACTGTGTTATAGAGGGGAAACTAATAAAAAAAAAAATTATATTCATTATTTTTTGGTATCATTAATAATAATATACTACTATGATTTTTTTTTTTTTTTTTTTTTTTTTTTTATATAAAATTAATGAAAAATAGTTTTTGCGTTAATTTCATAAATAAACACATAATTTCCAAACACTGATATTAGTGAAGTTAAAATAGCATGTAAAATGATTTTTTACTTTGGAAATTATTAGTTTTATTTTCCTAGGAGGCTGATTTATTACTCCCAACTCTATTTTTCTCAATAATTTATGATTTTAATATAATTTTCCCGATAATTCATAATAATTCAGTTTCTAAACATTTGAACATACGAGTATAATCATGTTTCTATAATATAGAAGGTATTATATTATAATAACCTACATTATAAAAGTAAATAATGCTATATAAATATGATTATATATAGACATTTTATAGGTACTAGAAATAATTGTTGAGATATAAATTTATTTTAAGTTTGATTTCAGCTCATGTTTTCCACATAACATAACATATCTATTAGATGTATATTAGACATCATAAATACCCATTTAATATCTAGTAATTTGTTGACACTATATAGTTATTTATTTTATATACACAGAAAGTAATTGGTAGATGAGCTAGAATAGACATTATGGATATACATTAGACATTGATATTTCGTAACTAATGGACTTCGTATTATTGATGTTAATGTACATATATTAGATACCTCATCACAATTAGATACATGTATCATCTACATATATTTTTATTTTTAACTATGGGAACTATTGTAACTAGGAGTCTCGTTTTTGTACGTAAATATGAATGTACGTGTCCACGTATACCGTGATCACGTGAATGAAACAAAATAAATCACGTATGGTTAATACACGTGAATTAACTAAAGCTTAATCACGTGAACACGTATCGTAATCATATTCACGAGAAAACGTGAATTAGTATATTCACGTGAACAGGCATTTATCGAAAACTTGATTGTAAAAGAAAATAGTCATTTTTAGAACAAAAAGATTTTGTTAACTTTGTTAATAATGCCTACACGGTGGTCATATATTGCATTACAAAAACCGATTTTATGTACTGTTTATTTAGTTATATTTTATTTGAAAATGTGTTTACAATTTTACTGATTAACTTCGCGCTTATTTATCTTTATTGAACTTATTGAACTCGTAGTGCCCGTTGCGTGTGTCTTATCTGGTAGTTGGATAGGAGGTAGTGACTATATCGATATCTTGATGATAATATGATATTAAACACTTTAGTGTACGACGCTTTTAGTTTGCGTGCAAGTGATCGTATTCATTAAAAAATTTAAGTTTTCTCGCAAAATGGTGAAAAGAAAAAGTTGGGTATGGGATTATGCCAAACGTGAAGGTGATCGCGCCTTTTGTGATTTATGTGACAGTGAAAATAATAATGAATATTCATGTGTAGGCGGCACGACATGTTCTTTAATAAGACATTTACAAAATTGTCATGGTATTAAAGCACCAGAAGAATCTATATGAAAGAGGTAATTAATAAATTATACTTTTAATTAGTTATTCAAATAAAATAGGCAATTGTTAATTTTCTTAAATACTCGATGTCCTAAATATTAATCTCGATGTATACAAATATAAAATAATCAAATTCTGTCGAGACATTGTATATACAATATAATAATATTATTTAGGCCTGATAAAATCACACCAAATCGCACTATTGCCGTATAACAATTTATTAATAAACGATTTTCACATTCAACGACCACAGCGCGCGCACACATACACACACACACACACACACACACTATGCTATGTATACAGGGTGATTCTTTTATCATAAAACACTCATTATTTCAAAAAGTATTCATAATTTTGAAAATATTTTTTCTCGCGTGAACATAATAATTCACAAATTCACGTGAATAAAATAATTCACGAATTCACGTGAATAAAATTATAAATACACGTGAAATTTTAAGCAACGGGTTATAAAAATTGAACCTTTATTTCACGTGAACACGTGAAAACGTATGCACGTGAAATAAGGAGCTCTAATTGTAATAGATCACCACAATTATACCATCTTACCATTTTGCTTCATAAAATCATAATCACTTTAATATTTAAATTGTATTTGTACCATTATACCACGAATTACGATCTAAAATTCATGATAGCAATAAAAACAATAATAATGATATATAAAATAAAAAGTATGCTCACTCGTTCTAGAATATTTTTTTTTGAAAATACATTGATTTGATTAAGAAAATGTTGTTATATATTTGTATTAATATTTTTTACTGTTAATATTATATATTCACAAGTATTAAGTATTATATTTAGTCGATGTACAATTTATTATTTTATTCATTTTTTTTTACTATAGGAAATATTATTATTATTTTTTTTAATTGTTAAGAATATGAAATAAGTTTGATTACATACCTGTGTTTATATATTTTAGATTGCATATTTGTTGCTATAATTGTATTGATTATTAAATAAAGATTTGGTTTAATATACATAACTTTTTAATTTGTGTTCTAATAATAATAATATAATAATCTAATAAGTATATTAATTTCAATGAATATCTTATGGATATTTATTACATATTAAAATTATTGGACGAATGCTGGTGAACTATATTTAATATATCTAATAAATATTACAATTCAACCGTCTTTGATATCTAATGGATATCCTAGTAAATATCCTTAACAAATAAAAAAGCAACTAATTAGATATCTAGAAAATATATAATAGATATACAGCCATATCTAATATATGTCATAGATACCTATAAATCATATATATTATACATTTATTAGTTGTACCTGTGTTATGTCTGAATCATTTGAACAGAATAACTTGTGAAAGCCCTACTTTTAGCAAACCAAAAAAAACCAAATTGGTTTCCCAAATTTTTATAATACAAGTATTCATTTACATATGAAAAGCTCTTCTATTTTAATTTATGATTTCGTTCATAATTAAAAAATGATTTTTATCATTATAAAAACTAAACTTGATATACGAATTTGATGAACCATACCAAAAAATTCTAGAATAATGTTGGAAATCAAAACATGAAAAACAAATAAATTTTATTTTATTTTCAATTTTATAATGTAATACAACAAACCTTTGACAAATTTTTTGTGTTTGTATTCAATATTAATTTATTTGCAGTTATTAACTACTTGTATTTCGTACCCACTTTGAAATAATGGTGTACTACTAAAATAAATATTGCCAGTTTATCGGCATAATTTTTATCTCTAATATCTTAATTTATTATACCCTGTGTATTACGTTTAATTGTAGTTCTATTCCATTTTTAAATACGTTCCTCCTTAGTGTATTACCTTTACAATGATCTATATTATTATAATTTTTAAATGTTAAATTTGAACTTAAAATACTGCAATAAAAAAAAAAAAAAAATTGGGATAGTAAAATTTGGAAAAATTAAAAAATAAAATGCTGGTAAGCTGTCCTACAGTCGCTTTATTTATTTTTAATTTATGTGTGAATTTACTAACTAAAAGATGCGAATTTTCTTCTGAATATGGAATATAAAAATGTATTTCTTCATGTTTACAGCTGAATAAATGTTTTAAAAAATACAAATCATTACTTCATACTCTCTGAACCTAAGCTCGTAACCTAATCGTACATCCACATATTTGTTACGTGACCATTCGACGATGCATTAATTGATCCCTCTCATAATACTCCATAAGAAACATCATAGAGTGTTAGAGGGATTAATAAATGTGTAGAAATTATATAATTTCAGTATCTCAATAACAATAAAATAACCCTGGCTCGTTTTTCTTAATTTCTTCGTAACAAAGAAATAACCTGATAAGTAGAAATATTGAGAATAGGAGAATTGTATAATCGTTCCAAAGTTTGCGTTAACGTGCAGTTGTATATAAAATGTGCAGTAGGTACTAAATTAAATTGTGCAGTTCATAAAAAATACTATGATTCGAATTTTTAATTCTATATGTCTATGAGCTTATAACATATATGGTAGATAACATTTGACATTTTTTTCTCCCGAAATGATTAGAAATTATGATTAAAAAATTAATAAGAATTCAATTTTTATCTATGAATACAAGAGATTAAATCTACTGTCTTTACGATAAACCTTGGTCATAACTGTAACGTTATGCCGCCAAGTGAATGCATTTTATTATTGTATTTGTTATTATACTGCTGTTTTAATGAATGATTAACAATCCTTTATAGTTAGATCATATTCTAAATTATACCTAAATCTACAGTAACGGTTTTTTAAATTTTTTCTGTGGAAGGTCCGTTTAGGTTATCTTCCAGATTAGTCAGACCCCTTGGACCTCCCTAAAGCTGCCACTGTTAAAATGAAGTTTAGTTCAACTTTAAAATAAAAAATATAATACAGATCGAAGAAATTATGTTATTATATTTGTATTTTTCGTGTGTAATTTAAACCATAAATGTATAATTGTTCTAATTACAACAAATTAAAATGCACAACAATTTGTTTGCAATTTTCGAAAAAAATTATATTAAGACAAATCTTTTAAAATAATTAGCGTGTTTGATTATTTTGTTATATATACTGTTATAACAGTAATATTAGAATACATACATGCTTATTAAACAAATTATTTCTCTATAATACATTGGTATACTACATAACATGATTTAAAACTTATTTTTTAATTCATAATATAACATTTAGTGGGTTACAGTAATGTGTGACATTATAATTTGTTTAATATTATTGTACTCGTGTAAGTGCATTATTAGATAGTAAATTGAAATCCGAGCATTATAATATTTTTATAGTTTTATTAATAATATTATGATTTTTCCGTTATCATTCAATAATAAAATGTGGAATTACCTTTGATTTCGCCTTGTTTTGATTTCGTCGGTTAAAATAAAATCGTATAACAAAAAAATATATAATCTCAAAGAAACTTACTATGCTGCAGCCAAGAAATAACCCAAATAAGCCTCCTATATTACCTATGATATAATTTCAAATATTTATAAAATAATATAATCTTGTATATTTTTAAAAACTACCTAAGAGATCATTGAATGGCATCAATGGAGTTTTTTGAATGTCAACGACAGTTTTCTTATTAAAGTACATGGTTACCACAGCTGTATTTTCAGTAAGTTTCCTGTATAAAATCAAAGTTATGAAAAAATATATTTATAATATAATATTATTATTAGATTTTTTACAATCATTTTTACTATTACGGTTTTTTAACTGTAGAGTTGGTAGTCCAATTTCTTGAAAATTCCACAGTATTATGTTGATATCGGATGTCCATACAAGGTGGCAAACATTTACAGCTCTCCATATTATTTGACGTCTTCACTTCTTTGTCAAATATTGAGTAATCTGAAATATGTTTATAATTATAGGTACACGTAGTAAATCATAATTTGATCAAATTTAAAGTTCACTTATGGTTGACGATTCTCTGATGCAATCAAATTTGCTTGTGCCACATACCGGAACCTCTGGATCTCCTGCGTAATTATTTTATATAACAAATATACAATGTACACACTATAACACTAAGATGTTAATTTTTTTTGAAGCAGCTGCTTCATTACCAAAATGGGTGGCTGGGTAATTGGTATCATGTGACAAAAGTTATTTACAATATTTCAAATGGACATAATTTAATTTATACTTTATCTATATTATATTTAAATTACAATGCATATTTTGGGTTGGGTCGGGGTTAGGGTTTGTTATTCAATACTTGTAATTAATTGGAAAAATAAACTTTGCGTCACCATTGGATACACATTTTTACTACTCATGTACATGACTTTTAACATAATTTACTGTTAATTATTAATTAGGTATTCATCTAAAACTACAGCAGTTTCATAAGGATATATATTTTATCTATGCTAGTTGTACAAATAGTATCAATAATCATAATTATGTAATACACATTTACAATTCATTATACATTATGAATTAATATTGTAAAATGTAATTCTTACTAGGCTGATAGTAAGCGTTACAGCCACATTGATTGTAGGTAATGTTGGCTCTACACTCAATTTCACAATGTTGAAGTGTATATATTTTAAAAAATTTCAATTTTTTCTCGTGTTGAAAATAACAATGCCGAAGATTTGGTTCCCATGTATTGATTTTTGGTGATGTACGGAATAGAGTTACGGACAACGAAATGGACAACATGGTATTTCCTTTAACGTATGCTGTAGGTTGAATACCAATTGGCACTTCTGCTGGGTTGTGTAGAATTAACTGTAATAATATTACGATTCAGGTCAGGGTATGTTTATACAGTTTACTATTTATTAACAATTTCAAATACTTTATTTATTTGTTGGGTCATTTTTTTTTCTTCTTAAACATACGTATTACGCTGGCAATTATTATAACTTAAATAAGATACTATTTACCTTGAAATATTTCTATAAAACACTAGTTATCAAATAAATAATTTTGTTACCGTCAGCCCAGAATCTGATTTCGGACAGTTGTCTTCAGAATTCTTATTGTTTAACGTAAAAAGTACTCGAACGGCATTTTCGACGGTGTCGCCCGTAACTCTCCACGGTATGTCGAACGAAGTAGAATTTTGACTATAACCCATTTCGGGAGTCCATTTAGTTTCATTGTTCTTATCTATGATATCCGTTTGAGTGAGATTAAAACTAGACATGCTGTTATGTGGAATTTTATAAACGTGTTAATCGAATTGTTTAATTAATACTACAATTGATTCTGTATTACGTTTGTAGATACTTGTCGTTGAATAAGTGACGGAGAGGTACCATATTTATTGAATAACAAAGACCAAACGATGTTATTATCGGTTGAATAAAATTACAGGGTGATTGTATTTCATCGTGTATCCAATACAACGTCGAAACGATTTCCGTACACATTACTTTGTGGTACTTGGTGTTCGAATACAACATATTATAAATAAATTAAACATCTTTAGAAATTGTTTTTTTTTTTTTTTTCCAAGCCCCGATAATATTGATTAAAATAAAATAAGAGTACTTAAATAAAATCAAAACTAATTCACGAAATAAAATTTAATTGTACTTATTATACATGTGTAGGAATCATTTTATAAAGATAATTTTAAAAAACTTAGTAAAACCTATAATAGGATGATTGATTAATTTAATATTATATTAATATATGTATATTGAGTTACGTATGATTTATTGATGAAAAAATCTAATGTTTGATAGTTGAATCTCGAATACTATTAGAATAGGTAGTTCATTTTTTGCTATTAAATAGAGCTCTTAATACACGTGAATTCACGGAATTCACGTGTCACGTGTCACGTGTAAAATTCAAAATAAAAACGTATATCCTTAACTTAATACTGTACTATTAATATTTTATTAAAACTTCAAGTGTATAACATAAAATTACTAATTTTACCATTGTAAAAATGGATATATATATTGGATAAACATGTATTTCACGTGTACACGTGAATTCCGTGACACGTGTTTTAAGAGCTCTACTATTAAATCAAAGGTTATTACCATGTGATAAACTTTTTATGTTTTGCATCAATATTTTTTAAATTCAAATTCATTTTTATTTATTTGTTTATAATATTTATAATATTAATCAATCTACTTTTAACTAATTTAACATTTTTAACAATTGTCTGAGATGAATAGTTCATTGATTTTTTCATAACTTGAAAAAAATAACGGATTTTTAATTCATATTTTATTTAAATATAAACTAAAATAATGATAATCAACAGTGAAAAGTTAGTTTTTTTCGTATAAATAATTTAGATAACACATCTTATCAGAACCCAGGAATACTTTACCTTACCTGAATTAAATACTGCCAAATTTTTGGATCGATATACTTTAAAGTCACATCCCTATCAAAATCGAATTCGTGACATAATATATTTATTGCATCCTCGAGTTCTCTAAAATTATGCAATTATAATACTTTCAATTTTTCAAAGTATTGTGAATTATTAATGACAATTATTACTTGTTGAATACATCATCTTTAAGTGATTTGTTGCTAATATTCCGAAGCTGAATATCACTACAAAATGTTATAGCCGGAAATGGTAGATTCCATATGTTATATTTATTATTGTCCAATGCCAATATCGTTCTACTACTCAACCAGTTATTAAAAAGTTGATATATTTGTAAACCACATAGAGTTATTACCAAAGACATAACACCGCACCAGAAAATCCTAGGAAATTGACAAAATATATAAATTTATATTATGCTACAACCATAGGCGTGTACAGGAATTTTGTATGAGGTGTACCATGAGGAATATTTGGTCACTTTCTTTTATACGAGAATTACCAAATCTCACCTAACCCTCCCTCATAAAAAAAGGACAAATTTGGGTTAACCCATAGGTTAGAATTTTGATATTTTTAATGGATATCCTAATTTTTTTTAATCTAATTTTAATATTTGTAGCTTAAAATTCAAACAAAGTCCTCGAACGAATAAGTCGTAAAAAAAACACGGGTTACAGGGTGCGCCACGGCATATGTGGCATACCATGTGCGCACGCTTATGATTACAACTAGGTTTAGGCACAAAAGTAAAAACGTAAAAAAATGTAAATTTGTATCTGTATTTAATATTTAGAATTCCAAAAATAGCGATTAGGTGAAAATTTATACTACTCGTTAGACCATTAATTAAATCGTTCGAACTTTGCTATTAATCAGAAAATTCAACAATTTTAAGCTCCCAAAACTTTATTTGTCATAAGTAGCTATAAAACACGTCGAACCACATAATTTGATCTTATCATTAGCAAAACGTCATTGATTTTTCCAACTAATTATCATCTATATTAATATATAATAATATGTATTATTTTCTAAACAAATAGATTTGAAAACGGTTTACGATTTGAAATACCTATATAGATTAACTTATAGGTTAATAAAATAATTAATAATTATTTATGTTTTGTAAAATTATTTTCCTTCCTGATTCTTCTTAAGTTTAAAATCGATTTTTTATTTTAATTGGTTTGTAAAATGTGAAAATAAAAAAATTATTAATCTCAAAATCTTATCAGTTGCAGATTATATAGAAAACTGGTTTTAAGAGTTATATAATTGTATGATCTAAATACTTAATATTATAAAAATAATCCTAGTTAATTCAAATCTGTTACATAAAATGACAATATTGGTATAAGTACACTCACCTTTCTAATAGAGGTCTTTTAGGTTCACCCAAGTACATGATACCGTGTAAGCTTGTAATTGACGAAAACTCACGTAAGTAGCTACCCGTAGGAATCCATGTAGATTTATACTTGGGACTCTTTGGTCCAAACGTAGGTCGATGTCTTTGAATTATAATTTTTTCACGAGTATTAAACATTTTCCTTATATAATTTTAAATGTGTTCGTTCAATAAGTATAATATAGTTCAACAATTACACTTCTTGATGTTAAAAAGTAAAATACGTTAAATAATTATTACTCTACATAAAATTAAATATCGAAAAAAAAACTTGTTCAAGTACTTGAATGTTATGCCTGAATGGCAAATCATTATATTGAGCATGTGTCGACATTTCTTTTAAGTCTGTGACATTATTATTCTACAACCAAGTGTGTTTACCAAAGTTTTGAATTTAATTTTCAATCTATTAAATGTCAATAAAACTTCTTTTAGCCATCACTTTGATTACAATTTGTTATATATAATTAATATAGGCTTATTGAATTTTAAAATCCAGTATAACTCAAGTAAATTAATTAATTACAAACTTGATTACTCATTTAATAATTATTTTTTATTTTATCTAACAATAATTTTCTTTTTTTGATCAATTAAATTAATATTTGAGATAAAATATCATCCGATTATGCTACACGAGAGTTTCTACATACGGTATATTGCTATATACTAAACAAATATATATCATTTAAAGTACAATGTCTCATAACGCCTATATGTATAAATAATTATTTGTAGCTGATAAACCAACAAGGAACGTATGAATATAGCATAAAGCAAAAACTAAAATGCGATCATTTCAAAACTGTTAGTTATAGCTATAGGTACTTATATTATATATTATAAATTATATACCTATCTTAAAAATGATCACAAGTTCCATATTGTCAATAATTTTATTATTAGTGATTGTGGCTATCACTTGTTCCGTAGATGTAGTGGGTACCAAAAAGGTTTCTTTAAAACCTTCATACGATTTTCCACTTGTTGAAAATCAAAATGCTGTTCCCGTAAGTTAAACAAATATTTATAATTTCAGTCAAATATTAAATTAATTTTGTTTATTTTTAGAAAATAACAGTGTCAATTTATTACAGTAGCTTATGCACAGATTGCATCAGTCTGTTTAAAAATCAAATAGGACCAAATTTAGTGAAATTTCATAAATATGTAAACTTTTATTTTATACCTTTTGGAAATACTGAAGTAAGTATAGCAAATTAAATAGACGTATTATAAAATTATAAACATAATATAATGAACGATGTATTAAATATTTTACTCGATTTTAAAAATAAATGTGAACTTAATGTGACAAAACTTAATGTGATTGAATTTAAATATATTTAAATATTTAATTAGTTATTATACATTTCGTGAAATTTAAGAATTAGTCTCAAAAATATGAAATAATAGAGTTAATCTAATAAAATATAATATAAATTTCAGAAAAAATTATTTGATGGAAGATGGTTTTTTAAATGTCAAAACGGACTTAATGAATGTATGAAAAATAAATGGCAAGTATGCAGTATACAAGTGTTACTATCCAAACGACCGTTACTAGCTAGTTATTTGGTGTGTTATATGAATTCTACAAATGAAATTCATTCGGGATATCAAGTAAGGACTAAGAGAATTCATTTTTTTCTTTTCTAATAACTTAATATGATGCTTGGATAATTTAATAAAGTAATAATTAATAAGACTTAGTTGATCACTAACTTCATTAGTGTTGTCATCAATGTTGTTCCGAAAATAATGAAACAAATTAAAAAAAAAAATTTAATGTACGGATGAACCCATTTACATATTCTATAAAAGTATGGATTTTCCAATTTTTATATTTTATATTAATTTATAAGGTATATTCATAAAATACATAATAATTTATTTTTGTTTACCAATTAATCCAATCAAGATTTCTTACACTTACATTTAGTAAATCCTTTATAAGTTCGAGTGATTCTGATGAAAATTAAAAGCTCTATGAAATATTCAATTTAAATTTGAATCATTCATTATGATATAATTATTTTGTAAAATATAAAACATCATGATGACCAGAATACGCATAGGATATACAAGACTCACATATACACTCCAAATATATAAGGAACCCATATGTAAATTGTGTCTTTGTGTACTGTTTATGAAACATATATTTTTAAAATGTCCCACCTACTAACTTCTTCGTATGTGTCATCATATTTCTGCAAATGTTTTGGTTGCCACCGTCACTGACCATCAATAATCGTGATCCTGTATCCTTTCTTCCAACCTCAAGATTGTCGGTCTCACATTTAAATCAAACATTCAGATTACACTCCATAGATAACTCAAAAATCGACTATATAATATAAAAGTCCTTAGATGTAATCATTTTTGCGAAAACTTAAACTATTGTAGGCTAATGAACTTTATGTTTGAAATTTTAAGTTAATAAATAAATAACACTTCATTATGTTCAATTATAATTGCTGATTTATTAGAACTTATGAAAAATTATTTATTCATTTATTGTAAGCGAAAATACATCAACAAAGAACAAACTATAGAATCATAGTAATTCAAATATTATTTTACCTATTTAATCTTATTACAGCATGGAGTTTTAAATGTATAACTATGTTCATATTAATACCGTAAGAGAGATGTATAAATAGTCTCCTTAATATCCATATTGTCACACGAATGTAGTGTGTAAAATGATGGTTTATTAAGATATAATAGTAATAAAACTGTTCAGTTTTAAAAATTATTATACGTATAAAGTGTATTACTGCAATTCGTATACATATAGAAATGTTGTCGGGCTTAATTCCATTGTAAAAAAAAAAATTAATATTTTTTTATCAAATTTCAAAAAGTTTTAATTTTCGTCACTTCTGCAACAAACTGTATAAATTAATAATAATACCAATGATATTCGTTATTAACTCGGTGGTAACCACATGAAGTATAACAAAATAATTTCACAAGTTGTTTATTAAAAAAATAATATACTATAATACTCTATTATTCGTCAATAATTTAATATAAATATCATAATATAATCCATAAATAACGTAGGTTGCAGTTTTTTCAGAACAGTTGAACTCAATAAATATTTAGAGCAAGATAACTTATATTGTTAGGTATTAATATTATGACTCAATAATAGGTAAAAGTGCCATTCGTTGAAAATGTAAAAGCCATTAAATCGTGAGTTATTAAATAATTTATAACACTTATTACAGTTATTTTACAAATTACAATTTACAATAATAATATGGCATATGTTACATTTTTAATTTTAGTGTACCAGAAAGTTGGGCTTATATAACTATTACAGTAAAATAAAAAAATGTTTTATGAATAGAGAATTCAGTGATTCTTTAATGATTCGTTATAGTTATCTAACACAGAGAGTTATACCAAAATTAACTCCGATACCTTCTATTACATTTAATGGAGTAAGTATAAAAGATTTTTTTTTATTAATTAAAATTTTATATATATGTAAAATTAAATCCAAATATCAATAATAATTTTATTTATCATATTCATTATTTTTGTCTTAGATATACAATGAAACTGAACAATACGATGCTAAAAATAATTTAGGAATTGTTATATGCAAACATTTACATCCTAAACCCGTTGAAATGTGCTAAATTGTTTATTTTTTAACTCAAAACAATAATATCCGTCCAATATGAGAAAAAAAAATAATAATTAAGTAATTATACGATTTATAATTTTTTTTTTTTTTTTACTGTATTTGATATTATAATATTCGTTACTAATAAAATTCTTATAAGCACATTGTACTTTGCGAAAAAATTTACACTAATAAGCGTGTTTATAATTTGGTGTATCATCATTTCAAAATAACGCTTTAGCATCACAATATTATGAATGTATTTTTAATATTAAAATAATTATAATTAATGACCTTGTCTTATCTTGAAAATAATTTTTGAATTCTGTAACTTTTATATTGTTGTTATACGATAAATTTAATTAATGATATATTATTTATTTGTGATGTTAATTTTTTCTTGTATTCCTTATATTAATAAACAATTAAGTTATTTCAAAATAAAACATTCACGTTGTACAGATAAATTATATTTTTGTTCATCAAATTTACTTACTTAGTCTAACACAGCTATAGTTATAAACTACGTACTATAGTAATAACTAAATAATAACCAGTGACGAATATTAAGAGGGGAGAAGTGATAGGGGTGATCCCCTCTCAATTTCTTTTATAAGTAGGTATTTACTAAAATAAAATTACAAAGAAACTTAGAATTTATAATTTAGTAAAATTACTTATTATTGATTATTATTTTAAATAAATATTGTTTTCTAGTACCTAATGTATGTTGTACAGTTATTTTATGTTTATGAGATTTTAACATTTGTAAGAAGCTTTTAAAAATGATATGTGTTATTTAAGTTTAAAAAATAAATAAGTACATTATTATATTAGGTGTAATAAATGTTGTTTCAACTTCCAGGGCACCACATCTAGGATTTTTTTGAAATGGGGTTAAAAATATATATCGCCCGTCTTTCTCGAGTAGACTTTTATTCGTCCCCCCCCCTAAAGTTATGACAGATAAACTATTGCAATATACTATAAGTACTAAATAATATGATAAAAATTAAATCACTACTCTTAATATGATAAAAAATAAATCACTACTCAAACTGTACTCAAAACAGTTTTTCTTCTCAACCAAGACAAAATGGAAAATTCAAATGTTTTTATTTCTTCAATCTTTAAAAAAATGTTTAATATTATCCAAAATAACATGATTTAGGAAATCTATATTAAATGAATATTGATCTGTAACAATTTAAACAATTTTTATATCGCTTAGTAAGAAAAAGATACAGAGTGAAATAAAGTGGCATACGATTCAAAACAAAAAAACACTAATTTTTGATATAAAATACTCTGTCAAACTATCTTAAATGATTATAAGATTATACCATAACTATTGAAATACTAATATAAACTAAATATATAAAAAAAACTAATGTTAAAACAAAATAAAAATATAAATATTAATCAATGATTATGTCCTTAACATAATGCAATTAAGTTAAATTGTTTTGGGTGCCTAATGTCGAATATAATGTCAATTATAGTGATTTAAAATACAATTAAACCAATATAAAACACACAAAACAAAACATACAATATAAAATCTTTATACCAATGAATTCGATTTCGATTAAAAATACTGAATAATATCCATTGTAAATTTGAATAAAAATGTAGTACAAATATTACTTATCTTTTTTATGTCTATTAAGTGTGATGACATAACCACTTAATAGTCTTGTCATCCCGTCTTCAGTATAGTATTATTTAAGGATGTATATCTCCGTTATTATCTTTTGTTTAAAATCATGCAACCACTTTTATGTAATTCATTGGTCAACTTTTAGGAGCCTAAAAAAAAGTTTATATGATTGATTGCGCGGAATAAAATAAATATAATGCATCTACGATTCCTTTAAAACGTTGACTGTGTGTAGTCGCGATTCAGTGTATATTATATATGTTAAGATTAGAAAGTCGTTTAAAGTAACAGTTAAACACTCGGAATACAAAACAAAATCGAACTCACGACACGCGTAAGCATCGTGTCGTAATTACATTGACGCGATGTTTAACATATTATATTATAATAATCGTATAACAAACATATTGTGATTCGTCCGTCCTATAAAAAAACTAACGTAGAAAAAAAAACGCATTTTCTAGTGTATATATATTACAGAAATCAGTATCTCATTGAGTACAATAGTCAATAAACAAAACCTTGAACTCAAACCGTGGTAGGTTACAAAAAAAAACCTCCGAACACGTCGGCATATTATTCTGCGGCAAAACGCTGAACCTCGGTTCAGATATAGACACTCGTGGGCAATAAAAAAAAAAAAAAAATTTGAAGAAAGGAACGAAAGACGGAAAGAGAGAAAAAAATATACACCTAATTGATTCTTGAACGAGTGAACAATGTACAGGTGTCTAATGGTTAGTATTATATTTATAATTATAACTTATGAATTATACAATATATTATACCTATTTGTATAATTATTTATTTCGCTATCTCATAAACTTTATAAATTGTATTAAAATTAAAATTTGATGATTTAAACTTCTTTAAATTTGTTTGTTTCTGAGGACGAGTTTTTACTACTGAAAATAATGAAAAATTAAAAATGCAATCACCGTATAATAATTGAAATTATATAAAATTTTTAATTTTCCCTATAAATATTCACACTAAATATCCACTATTTAATTTCAAGAAATTTGATTTTATTAGAGTTTTAAATTTTCTATCTACTATTTTGATATCAATCTAGAAAATAATTTATCCTTGAGAGATATAGTTTCTAAGTTTTATGAAATCTTAAACTATTCTTTTGGCATATTTGTACCAAAAACAAAAATTTGTATTTAATATTCACCTAATAAGGAAACCAGAAATTTATAATCATAAACAATATAAATTTAGTGGTTCTTATGATGACTATCTGGAGTTTTTGAACCTTTGTAAGAAACTTACATACCTACTTAATTGCGGTCTGTCGCTTTCGATATTATCTAATTTTGAAATTAGTATTTTTACTATTGATTTAATCAATGTTCTTACAATCTTAAAATCCTTTTAAAAGTATGAAATTCCTTAAAAAAATCTTTAGTAGTATTCCAGACTGTCTTAGGTATAATTACCAGATGTCTACAACCAACTTAGCATCCGCAAACCCATCTGCGAATAACTCTTTTAGTATTTATGTCTCTGACACGGTATTATCAGATGGTCAAAAACTAGTGTAACATGCATTTTTTCGTATTTTTATTATTTTCGTGGAGTTATTTTGAGATTATTATAAAAACTATTGGGGAATTCGTAAAATGACTTCTTTTAGAAAACTTACTAGACGTCATTACATTTTTTTTTTTTTAATTTCTATTATTGTAGTAATTCTTCTGCCAAAAATTGTATACAGTATCCAAAAAAAAAAAAATAATTAGCGTGTGACAAAATAGTATGCAATAAGTAGTAATGAAAGTTCAAATATTGGTTAAAATTTTAAGTTCTTTTCACTTTTTCCCCTGTTTTTCTTAATTATTTGGAAAACTGTTGATAAATTCAAAATGTGATATCTTAAAGTACCTCAAGTAGAACCAGTGGCGTAATTAGGAATTTGGTTTAGGGGGGGATTATAGGTCTTAGCAAAATCTGTACACCTCATACAGTAACCCCCCCACCCCACCAGAAAATTTTTTTTAATAATTTAAATTTTAATAATAATAATAATAATAATAATAATAATAATAGTTATCGTAATAATAATAATAATAGTTATCGTAATAATAATAATAATAATGATAATAATCATATTATCACAATATAATAAATAAATAAAAATTACATAAAAAAAGTTTTGGGGGGGATCCATACCCTTAATCACCCCTAATTACGCCCCTGAGTAGAACTCATTTTCCTTGTCTTTAATATTTTTTGCTGGTTATTAGTGCACCCCTTCTGGTCAAAATCGTGAACACAAGCACAAAAAAAAAAAAACACACACATCATGATAAGACATTTACATTTCTCATTTCACTCATAACCTAAAAATAGTTATGTATATTTTCATTTCTTGGTTGACTACTAATAAAATAGTGTTAGTCCTTAATAATTAAATATGAATTAATAACAACTAGTCAAGTGTATTATTTACTACATTTATTTTTGTCGGATCCTAAACAGTTTCCGTCTAAAAAGGTTTTACGAACAGGTTATAGACCTAGGAATAGGAATAGAATAGGAACAGACCCATAAAAAGGGGGTCTATTTTTGAAATCATTCGAATCGGGTCCGTATACGAACAATCCACACGATTAGTTTCCGTGTACGGACGTAAAATTGTATTCCTGAAATAAAACTGTCCGTATACAGGAAAAACTCCACATAACCGGAAATATTTTCATATGATTTTTATCTTTCGTATATAAGATTGGTAATACTAAAAAAAAATGTACAATACTATTGTATATTTCATTGAAATAAAGAAAACAGCTGTTTTTTTTGTTATTGTAATATTTATTGTGAACATTTTTCTAATTTCAATTTTGAATTTTGAGTTATAACACTTACTCTGATTTTGAACTTATCACATACGACATTTTAAAATTATATTCTATAATTTTATCACTTAGGTAATACTTAGATAAATACTAATAAATAAAAGTACTAATTTAAGTATTATATACTTTAAATAAATTGATTGATTGAATACATTGATACATTGATAGAAAAATACGATAACAATCACAAAATGACCAAGAGTCATAAATATAAATCATGGTTCATGATAAAACGTTCGTTTAAATTACTCATGTACAATACAAAAATTGAATTTATAGGCTTATAAAGTTATAACTAACCTATAATCGATTTTAACTAAAGCTTGTATTTATTATCATTAAATAGCAATGTATTACAAAGCATTTATTTATTATTATAGTTATTAGTATATATTTCAATTTCAGACTAGATAGTAATATGAGGATAAAATGGTACATACTTAATTAAAATGACATTTTATTAGTAAAATCACTTCAATCAAATATCAAATTTTCAACAAATATTTTGTGATTTGCCTTCCTAAATTTTAATTTGCTATACATTATTAATAAACAAAAA